GGGAAAGAGGGGTAATTCACATTTGGAAGATTAGAGGATAAAAGAAAGTCTATTTTCTTAGATGAACAAGGGTTGATAGTCATAAATGGTTTCTGCAGGTTCTCATGTCTGTGAAGAGCCTTGTGTACCCACTCACTCCTCCATGCCATCTCCTCATGTACAGTCTTTAAAAAGAGATGAAACTTGCCCACAGTGATCTAGAAGTTAAGGTCCCAAATGAATTCTCACAGTGATGGTTCTGACAAGCACCAAACAAAAGGAATTAAGATAGTAGAGGCAGCAGACAAATAGCAATAGAAACTGAGTTAGGCAGTGATCCAATAATTTCTTGCTGTTGATTTTAGTCCTTTGCTCATAAAGAAAATTAACATAATTTTTTTTTAAAACATCTTTACTGGAGTATAATTGCTTTACAATGGTGTGTTAGTTTCTGCTTTATAACAAAGTGAATCAGTTATCAGTTACACATATACATATGTTCCCATATCTCTTCCCTCTTGCGTCTCCCTCCCTCCCACCCTCCCTATCCCACCCCTCTAGGTGGTCACAAAGCACCGAGCTGATCTCCCTGTGCTATGCGGCTGCTTCCCACTAGCTATCTACCTTACGTTTGGTAGTGTATATATGTCCATACCTCTCTCTCGCTTTGTCATAAAAACACATTTGATTATTCTCTTAATAATTTGTTTCTGCTTTCAAGGGATTTAACAAAATTCTTAGATTTTAAAAAACAAACTGTTCACTTCTTGGGAGCAGGGGTAGGTAGACGTTTGGATGAAAAGACATTCATGTTTCATAAAATATCCTTCTTATAGTTTGACTTTTTTTTTGCTTAACATCTCCATGGGCATTTCCATAATGACTTTAAAACAAAACAGAAACCCAATACTCATGTTTGGAAATACAACAGGTTTCTGTCATTGAAGAAAAATACAAATTCTTACTTCATTTATAGACTCTTTGCTTTTTGGTGTAGATTTCTTCTGAGTCTGAATTTGAAAGCAGTGAACTTGAATCAAAAGTTGCCATGAAAGTTACCTGTTGTCAGTGACTGCAGCAAGACCAGCAATATCTAAGATGGCAGAGCCCTCGGTGGAGCGGGCGGCCAAGGGCTTGCTGGGGTTGTGAGGCACGGAAGAGCCCTCGTGGGCCAGCACGCCTGTGCCAGTCATCCTCCACAGCTGAGAACGCTTCCCTGGCTCCTGTTGGGCAGAGACAGCAAGAGCCATCAGGCGCAGCCACGGCTTCATACAAGGGCTTCAAGAGCTTCACACAGGGCTGAATGAGTTCTCAAGTAGGGACTGTACTAAGATTATGTCAACGCTTAATTCAAACTTGCACTGCTGTCCATCTCTAGCTGCACGTCGGATAAAATATGCTAAACTCTTGAACCAAACAACCCAAAATGACAAATAATATAAATTTTTAAAATTTATCTTTTTCATACACTTAATATTTTCTGAGCAAACCAGTTAGTCGAGGTTCAATCTAATCCCCTCCACTAGCTACACCATGTTAACTGCTATTCCCGATGGCGGCCCTCCAGTGCCCTTACCTAAAAGAGTGACCCAATTATATAAAGTACGTATGATATTCTCAGTATTTGGTCTTTGGTTATCCTCATAACTGGCAGACAACCAGAATTTACCAGAGCTCTCCCCATCTGGCGTTCATAAGGGAAGCATACTACATTGATGGTTTCCAATTTCCAATTTACTGGGTTTACTATTAAGTGGATTGTATTCAAAAGTTTTACCAGATTGATTGCTATTAATTCTAAATACATTTTCTCTTAGGAGTGTTTTATAAGCAGTACTTGAACTTCCAGGTCAATCCATGAAAGTCTGTATAATCCATTATATGTAAGAAGTAATAATAATAATAGTAATAACACCTCCTGAATATTTACTGTGTGTCAGCCACTGATCAGTGTGAGTTACACATAGTAATTCATTTAATCCTCGTAACAAGCCAGTGAGGTATATATACTATTACTGTTCTTACTTACAAATGAAGAAGTTAAGTCCGAGTGAGATAAAGAAACTTCACCACGGTCACATTAACTAGTAGGTGGTAGAGTGAAGGTCTGAATCCCTGCAGTGTGAGTCCAGGGACGATGTGCTTATCCACTTTGCCATACTACCTTTCTAACACAATCCCTATAATTCCACTTCAGTAACACCTGGCCATTGAGAATACTCTTTCTATGGGAATGTATACTCCAACTAGACCTGTCAGGATCACATTCTGGGTACCACAAACGCATCCACACGCTGCCCCGCGTTGGAAAGACAGCTTTTGCAACAAAGCTGTCAAAGCTGCATTAAAAGCTAACAAAGTAATATGAATGCTGGACTCGAATGCCAGGATCTGAAATCCAGCTGCCTCATTTACTAGCTAAGTGACCCTGGATAAGCTACTAAATTTCTCAGAGCTCCTGTTTCCTGATCCTGTCAAAGGGGGAAATTAAGCTACCTCTGAGGGTTCTTGTGATAAGTGTAATAAATACAAGGCACTTTCAGCACGTACTTGGCACAGGGTTAATGCCTCGATAAATGTTTGCTATGTTATCATGATCACATCCCTTCACACAGCACATTATGTACAGCATCCTAGTTGATTCCTCTCACAAACCTGGGAGATAAGTGGGAAAATGAGGCTCCGGCAGGAATGTGAAACACCAGATATCATCACCTTTAAGTGGCAAAGCCAGAACTCAAATCCAGAAGATATGATGCTCTTTCTTTTTTTTTTAAATTTTTACTTTATGTTGGAGTATAGTTGATTAACAATGTTGTGTTAGTTTCAGTTGTACAGAGAACTGAGCAGAGCTCCCTGTGCTATACAGCAGGTCCTTGTTGGTTATCTATTTTATTTATTTATTCATTTATTTTTTATCTGTTTTAAATATAGCAGTGTGATGATGCTCTTTCTACCGTGTGCTAATGCCTCTTGTACCTGTGAAAAGAGATGAAACTGAGCTGCACTTCTCCACCCGCAATCCCCACATGCTTACTTCTCTGTTCACAGTAAGAGAATACATCTATCCCTAGCACCAAAACCACACGGAAAAGCATCTCAATTTTCCCGGAGGTGTTCCAGATCGGGAATCAAAGCACAGACACCCAGGTGAAATCAAGTTTTCATACATGGATTCCTCTATTGCCTGCCCGTATGTGCAGGCTCATCATCACTGGAAACTACCCAAACCTCCATTTAAAAACCCAAGATCCACCATTCTCCTTCCAATTCCCTTCCCCTGCCCCCTTTCCTCACAATTTAGTCCTAAAACCTTGAGGTGAGACTGAGGGAGGGAGAAGGCAATGGGGGCTGTGTGAGGGTAGGTGGGTATATTGTGGTGGCCCGGCCCAGAGTGGGATGTTGAAACCCAAGGTGGGTGCTGACCCATATCGAGGGGCTGGGGAGGCGAGCCTAGTGTGGGTTGTCAGAGACAGAGACAGGTGAGGAGGGAACTCCTGCAGGGGGTGAGGTTGGATGGGGAGCTGCCCAGCATGTGGAGATCAGGACCCACGCCAGGTAACAGGGTGTGTCCACACTCGGGGTGGGGGGGGGGGCACAACTGTGATGAGAGAACATGGGTTACATTCACGGGAACTGATCAAATTAATAAATACATCCTTAGTGTTGGATGAGGGAGTTACAAATATGAAAAGGGAAAAAATTACAATGAGCTTTGTGATGTTGGACTGGAATTAGAACTTAGTGTGAACTGCTGGTTCTTAATACACAGAGATAGAGAAATCTGTTGAATATATAAATACATATATAAGATATATGTATGCATATGCACATATGTTATGTATATACGCAGATACAGTATGTGCCGTGTGTGTGCATATATACGTCACGTATATATAAAATCGCTAGGTCTGTCCCTTGAGAGAGTCTGGGAACAGCGACACCACAACAGCAACAAGGGCACCTAGTGTACATATCTTAAGTTTCTAAATTCCATTCTCTAATAAAAGGAATCAGGGCTCCTCAAAGAAGTGGCAAATTCCGGGAATGCTGCAGGGAAAGTACAAAATGAGCCCAAAATAACTTGCTGTGTCAGAAAGTATGAAAGTGCTCAAGGCATGAGGGGGCATATGTCAAAAGGACACAGAAGGTTAAAGGCACTCCCACTGGCCAAATATGAGAACTGAGGATAAAAATAAATCCTGACAGTAACAGATAACACAGTGAATAAAACAGGGAGCCATGGGGACATACATAAAGCTACAGACTGAACTGTGCCCCTGCAAAATCCTTATGCTGAAGACCTAACCCGCAGTTGCGATGAAAATGGGGCCTTTGGGTAATAATTAGGCTTAGATGAGGTCATGAGGGTGGGGGTCTCCTGATGGGATCAGTGTCCTTAAGACACCAAAGGGCTTGTTTTTTCCTCTCCCCTCACCCCTGACCCCACTCTTCCTCTGCCATCTGAGGACACGGTAAGAAGGCTGCAGTCCACAAACTAGAAGAAGGGCCCCCTCCGGGAGCCGACTTGGCCGGCACCCTGATCTTGGACCTCCCAGCTTCCAGAACTGCGAGAAATAAATTCTCATTGTTTAGTCTATATTATTTTGTTCTGGAAGTCCAAGCTAATACACATGCATGCATGCATACACACATACATAGAAAACTTGATGAGGAACAGGATATTTACAGAGTCTCAAAGCACCTCTCCACAAAATATTTACTAAATACAAGGGAAAAGTAAAACTTCCTTCACAGTGGAGAAGGCTGGCAGACACCACCTTAAGCAAGTGCTAACATTAACATCACCAGCAACAGGACAAATCCACTTTACAGAATTTCTACTAACTTTTCTGTAAATTTGAGATTCTTTCAAAACAGAAAGTAAAAAAAAAAAAAAAAATCCCCCAAAACAAACAAACAAAAACCTAACAGGTCAACCTTCTACTCTTGGTTTCTAATTCAAGCACATAGGTCCATTTCCCAGTGCCAATTCAAAGAACACTGCCTAGTTTTAGATGTCAACGTAACTCACTCATCACCTTCCCTCCCATTTACCGGTTTTCATCCTCATCAAGTGAAATGACAACTGTGAAAGTGTGTAAATTATAAAAATTTTATTTAAAGTATTTTTTGCTGCTTAATTAAAACAAGTCTGTTTTTGTCTACTTAACAGACACCAGCCCTTGGAAATCCCATGTATGTATATTATTAGTGTTTTGCCAATCACACCTGGTGATCATACTCCACTGATAAATCATCTTTCTCTTGAGTTGGTTTTCATTCACTCTAACATCCTCACTAACTTGAACATTTCTTTGAAGGTCATCTGCATCATTTCCAAGGGCTCTTCTATTTTTTTCCCCAATTCCTTGATTTCTGTCAGACTCTTATTTTTAGATTATTGCCTTTCAAAATTCCCTTTTTCAAAATGTTCAATAAAGTCTAGAAAATTGTTTACTTTCAATTACTACATCTCATGGTCTCTTTACTCATCACCATTCACAAATCTTACTTCTAAAATGTATCTAACACATAAACGCAATCTTATATAAAAGAATGTGATAACATTTTAAGCAAATTTGAATTATGTGCCTTTCAACTGGTATGATATAAAAACACATGTAGAAGTACTGGTTGAGTGATAGATGAAGAACCTTGAAAACATCAGGATAACTGAAAGAAGCCCTTCATTAAAGACCACTCATATATTGACAGAAGTCCAGAACAGGGGCATCTACAGTGACAGAGAGTAGATTAATGACTGCTTAGGGCTGGGACGTAAGGAGAATGCGGGGGTGATAGCTAAAGGATACAGGGTTCTTGCTTGAGGTGATGAAAATGTTCTAAGATTGAGTGTGGTTAGAGTAGTACCTACTGTGGATATATTAAAACCCACTGAATTGTATACTTTAAATGGGTGATTTGTATGGTATACGAATTATATCTCAATAAAGCTGTTAAAAATACAAAACTGAATTAGAAACACATGTATTAAAGTTTCATTTGATGTGCAAAACCTGAAATAATTTGAGTCTATCCCCCATTAAAAATGCAGTAAGAGTTGTACAACCTCAAAGCCAAATGAGTCATAAACCACCTACATTACTGCCACACATGATAGCACTTTAGTTGATTAAAGGGCATCCTCTGTCAGCATTAGGGCCACTTAGCTTGGAAACACACAACCTCTGTCAGGGTTGTTTTTGGATTATATGATTTATATTATGCAAAATTTTCCAGAACACACCCCTCAGGTAAATGGTTTCAAATAATTATAGCTGCTGATCTTCCTCCTCTTAAAGTGATTTCTGCACCTCTGTGTTCTCAAACAACATTCATTTTGAGTCTGAACTATTTATTACCAGTCTTCCTGTCAGTCACAACATTTCTGGTCAAACTTTACTCTTTCTCTCAATATCTAGGTCTATTAGCATAATCATTTCATAAACTAACTTGAAAAGAATGTTGGCATACAAAGGGAAAAAACTGTCAGTGTGATAATTTTTCTACTGAGTTTAGGGAAAAGCAGATTAGGGGAGTCTTACAACAGAAAGAGTAATGAAAACGACAAGTCACAAATTTGAAAAAAAATAAATTCAAGAATTAAGTTCTTCGAAAAGGTATCAAAGATGAGAAGGGCTTGGAATTCCTAGAGCAGGCGTCATGGGACAGTGGGGAGAACAACAACTGGAGCAGTCAGGACGCCCAAGTTCCACCTGAGCACGGGCCTAGGTCTCTGCTTGCTCATCTGCAAAACGACGGGGTGGACCAGGTGGCCCCTGTCCCTTCCAGGGCTAAAAATCTTTTCTTCTAAACTCCAAGTTCTAAGCTCTCTTACCTTCTTCTTTAAAATGACTCTCTGTGTCTTCGGTGAGACATCCAAGACGAGCTCTGCACAGGTAATGGCTCTGTTGGAAGCCACAGGCCGTCCTGTCCCCTCCTGTAAACTAGAATTGAAGAAACAGTAACAATCATAATACACACACACACGTATACACGTGGACTCACACGCGTATTCATGTACCCATAAGCAAATGGCTGAACCTCCACCATAAAGAAGATAATTCTTCTTTAATCATAGAAGAAAAAGCCTGACTCAAGCTGCAGAAAGATCAAGGTTGTGCTGTTTACCTGCACAGTTCAAAGATTCATTTGTCAGAAGACATACTCTGACACTTCCCCTCTCCTGATAATTTCAGTGGCTTAAAATTCAGACATAAAAGGATGACTATATATCTTTAGAGACAAAAAAAACAAAAACTAATCCAGACATTCCAAGGGTCCAAGAATTAGTTCTACTGTTTGCCAGGAAGATGATCAGAATTATTGCATCCCCACGTCTTAGCAAGAAATCAGAAGTCCCTTTAGGATGAAAAGAAAACAAAGGGTTCATAATCACCTTCCTCCAATTCCACCTTGTTGTGTTTCTCTATGGCTTAAGAATACTAAGCTTTATGGAATGTTGCAGCCTAACTACACTTTAGGGTATTTCAATGAGATTTTATTTAGATTATCCTCCTGTTTCCACTAATCTCTATCATCAAAAAATGGACTGAAAAATTCCGAGTTAAAAACCAGTTTTCATGATATCAAAAGCACAAGTGACCAAAAAAATTTTGACTTCAACAACATTAAAAACTTTTGTCCTTCCGAAAGACATTACCAAGAAAGTAAAAAGACAATCCACGGAATGGGAGAAGATATTTGCAAATCGTATATCTGATATGGGATTTGTATCCATATTATATAAGGAGCTTTAAAATTCAAAAAGGCAAAAAAATCTAATCTAAAAAATGGGCCAAGAATTTGAATAGACATTTCCCCAAAGATATACAAATAAGGAATTCCTTGGCAGTCCAGTGGTTAGGAGCCACTGCTTTCAACGCCGTGGCCGAGGCGGCCCGGGTTCAATACCTGGTTGGGGAACTAAGATCCCGCAAGCTGTGCGACATGGTCAAAAAACAAACAAACAAACAAAAAAGATACACAAATGGGAATAAGCACATGATAAGATCTTCAATATCATTAATTATTATGGAAATGCAAATCAAAACCGCAGCGAGATAACATTACCTATTCAGTAGAATTACTACAAACAAAAAAAAAGTGGAAAATAGGGCTTCCCTGGTGACGCAGTGGTTAAGAATCTGCCTGCCAATGCAGGGGACACGGGTTCGAGCCCGGGTCCAGGAAGATCCCACGTGCTGCAGAGCAACTGAGCCTGTGCGTCACAACTGCTAAGCCTGTGAGCCACAACTACTGAGCCCATGTGCCACAACTACTGAAGCCTGTGTGCCTAGAGCCCGTGCTCCACAGCAAGAGAAGCCACCGCAATGAGAAGCCCGGGCACCGCAACGAAGAGTAGCCCCCGCTCACTGCAACTAGAGAACGCCCGCGCGTAGCAACGAATACCCAACACAGCCAAAAATAAATAAATAAAATAAATTAAAAAACAAATTTTTTTTTTAAGTGGAAAATAACAAGCACTGCTGAGAATGTAGAGAAACCGGAACCCTTACACATTGCTGGTGGGACATAAAATGATTCAGCTCCTGTGGAAAATAGCATAGCAGTTCCTCAAAAAGGTAAACATAGGGACTTCCCTGGTGGCGCAGTGGTTGAGAGTCCACCTGCTGATGCAGGGGACACGGGTTTGTGCCCCGGTCCGGGAAGATCCCACATGCCGCGGAGCGGCTGGGCCCGTGAGCCATGGCTGCTGAGCCTGCGCGTCCGGAGCTTGTGCTCCGCAACAGGAGAGGCCACAACAGTGAGAGGCCCGCGTACCGCCAAGGTAAACATAGAACTACTGTAGAACCCAGCAATTCCACTCCTAAGTATATATTCAAAAGAATTAAAAACAAGTACTTAAACAAGTACATGTATGGGCATGCTGATAGCACTGTTCACAACAGCCAAAAGGTAGAGACAACACAAATGTCCATCAAAGGAAGAACAGACAAACAAAATGTGGTACAGGCACACAATGGAATATTACTCAGCCATAACAGGAATGAAACAGTGATACATGCTACAGTGTGGATGAACCTTGGAAACATGCAAAGTGAAAGAAGCCAGACACATATTTTATGATAATTTATGTGAAATATCTGAAATAGGTAAATCCTGAGAGACAGAAAGCAGATTGGTGGTTTCCAGGGGCTGGGAGAAGCGGTTTAATGGGGGAGTCACTACTTAATGGGTTTGGGGTGATGAAAACATTTTGGAACTAGATAGAGGTGGTGGCTGTATAATATCACGAATACACTAAATGACATTGAACTGATGATCACTTTAAAATGGTTAATTTTATGGTATATGAACTTCACCTCAATTTAAAATAAAACAAAACTAGTCTCCTTCCTCATCATTAGTTCTCACCAAAAATGCAAAGAAATAGGATCTACTGCACTTCAAAATAGGGTTCAACCCCTTAGCACACTAAGATTCCCAGGAACTTCTCTTTTTCTCTATCCATATCTGTTCAACCCATTAAATTTGTAATTCTCCATTAGGATTCTTCAGTTAAACAGCTTAGTAACTACTGGAATTTAACATAAGAAAGTAGAGAGAAAAACATGAATAGCAACCAGATTAAGGACTGGTTTTTCAGGCACTAAAACCTTAAGCATGTCATACTGTTGAGTGCCATAATCTTTAAAAAGAAAGAAACACACATGACTGACTTAATTAAAACAAGATAAGCATCTCAGCACCATCATTATCAAAAGAGAACTGTAATAAACAAGGAAAAAAAGGGCTATTCTAAGCAAAGATGCCTATTCAATTCATTATTAGTGAAATCTGGAGTCTAGATAGCCGAGAGAGACACTGCACAGACTCAAGAGATGATTTTCCGGGCCTCAGGCACACACAAAAATATTTCATGAGCAAAATTATTCAGAACATTTTGCAAAGAAATATGACTTTAAATGCCCTGTTCACCAGGTGACTTATATTTGGAATGCTAAAGATCAGGCTATCTTCCCAGTTTCTTCAACTTTAAAATTGGCCCTGTAACCAGCACAGAAACAAACTATATTTATGTGTTGGTGGAATGACTACTTTTGAAAGCCTAACATTTTGAATCTCTACGTACCTATCTCTGTACCAATCTAACAGAATTAGAATAAGCTCACTATTCCTCACCTGACTTTTCTTTCTAAATACAACTAACTAGTCAGACAACAGTGAAGATTATAATTCTAAGGCAACTGGAATTACTGTCAAGTTAAACTCCTCTGCTTGCCTTTAGGTGACTATTAAAAAGACCTTTAAGTGTCTGCTTCATCAGAATCCTCAATGGAAGAGGAGAGTCAGAATGGTGACTTGAATAATTATGGATGAAGATTAGTCAGTTTCAAATGAGGAAAGAGGTAAAACAAAAAATGGCTAGAAGTTTAAAGCAAGAGAAGTTTAAGACATTATAATAACAAAGCCTTAAGGGAGTTGTTAGATACTAGAATGGATTATTGGGGATAGATTATTAAAAAGAGAAGAGTCTTGCCTTTTTGGATAAATTTTACTCTAGCCAGAAGACAAGGGTTTACACTAAAGACCTCTCAAGATAGAGCCTGAGCCTAGGATTTGGTAAAGAATGGAAGGAATCTTCGTTCATCCCTTAGCCTCCTGAGAACTGCTTAAAATTTAAAACCGGTTAATAATTAGAGTTTTCTGCTTTACGAACAGTAACTTCACTCAGAATTACCCAGAGAACGTATACGTGGCAGCGACGTAAATGAAATTTTCATAATAAAGCTGTCGGTTATCCTGGAAATCATTCATGTTGCAGTTGATCTCAGAGGAACCTGCCCCTTTAACAGTCAGAGTGATAAAAGGTGGCAGGGTGGGTTCGTCCCAGGCATAATCCAAGGAAGTCATGGGCTTCACTTCAGTTCGGAGCCTGGGTTCAGCAACGCCATGCTGAGTGAAGACAACCGGGACCTACGGTAAGGGCGGAGAGGATAAAGAGGACTGTCAGTCAGAGCGGTGGTACTGGAAAGTTATCAGTGCCTCCTAGGTTTAAGTCCCAGATCCTTCCCAAATGAACCCTACACAGCGTATGACCACAAGTGAGGCTCATCATGTGGCCTCTTCAAATGCCTTTCTAATCATCTTCAAAACTGCAAAAAGCCCACCAATTAGACATGGGCCACAGCCTGTTGGGTAAAGGGTTTTGAGAAGCTCTGCCACGCCAAATACCTAGAGGAAGCTTCTCTGTCCTTTCAATGGCATCTAGTCTACCCTCAACCCCCTGGGATACACTCTGAACAAAAATTTTGGAATTCAGCTATGGAAAGTCACATATTTTAAGATGTAAGGCATAATTTAAAATAGAATCTAATGATTTCCATCTTGGCTTTACTTGGAAGATTCATAAAAGAGCTCACTGTAACTAAGCAACAGGAGGAATGCCCGCCCATTCTACCGGGCATCTGTCAATCTGATTCTGATTCCTCTCTCTCTCTGTTTATATGCAAATGTCTACAGAGAGCACCATGCCAACCAAACTATCTAGACAAGATAAGTTCTGGGGACTGAGAAGTCCCTTCTGGACAAGGCTGCCCAGCAATCAAAATAACCAGCAGAAACCACCTCCCAGTGGTAAGATTTCTAAGATCCTGTACAGCTTCTTTTGAACCCAAGTTTAAAATGTACATCATCATTATCTTAAGGGCAGTACAGATTCCACCTTCCCGCATATGAAACAGCCAAACTGGCTCTCAACTCCCCTTGATACCTTAGAAAAGTTGTCAATTCGGAAAGGAGGGGGTAACTGATCTGTATCACTAAAGGAGATCCTATAGGTAGCTCCTCGAAGAGTAATTTCCACACGCAGGAAGAAGCATTTTCCCAGAGTATCTCTGCAGCAAAAGGAAACAAAAGAGGCTGCATAAAATGGAGGGAACGAGTTCCAGTTCACATTCTCCTCATACTTCTCATGATCACCACTGTGCGCTCTCTGATCACATTAAAAAACTAGAAATTGACAGTATAATCACACAGTAAAAAAGAATTCATTCAAGCAACTTGGAACAGCACGCCGTAACTGTATGAGATCTACAAATTTTACTTAGGGTTTGTTTTGGGTCCTAGCGTCAGTGCAGCAAATGAGTAAATGCTGGTTGAACTACATAAAATTGTTAATATTAGACTACTTTTGACCTAGAAAAGAGGAATTTCACACGGTTCAAACTAATATATTGATGTTATTGATAAACAGGGTTTGCATTGTAGGGTGAGGGAAGGTGAGGAAGAATCCTGTGGAATGGAGGTACCAGCATGTGATCATAATTTACAGGGGTGTTGTGGGGGTGTGGGGGTGTATGTGTGTGTGTGTACTTAAATACAGATAAACCACTGGAGAGAATGGAAAGAAAGCTCTTCCCTAGGGAAGAATATCAGTTAATAAATGTAGAAGAAATGAGAGAACCAGAAAATCACCATTTTGCAACCACCAATGTAATAACTGATTCAGGTAAGAACCATCAAACCACTGAGTGAAAGGTTTTGGGGAAACAGAACATACACACAGTCTCAAATTAACCCCCCAATGGACTAGTCCTGTTTACAAAGAAGAAAAGGTAACTTCACAATACAGAGACCTGGTGGACACCACCTAAACCAAATGATGATCGAATTTAGCAACATCAATAACAGGACCAACAGACGTCACAGGCCTCCGGATGTGATGCAGTGGGAAACACGTACCACCGCAGAAGCAGTATTCTTACCAAAAATGTCTTTGGCCCAAATTTTTCTTTTTTCTTTTTTGGCCCAAATTTATATATAAAAAACCATCAGAAAAATCCAGAAAATAAAACATTCTACCAGACACCGGCTTGGACTCCAAAAATGTCAACGTCAATAAAGACAAAAAGGGAAAAGTGAGACTATGACTATTCTAGATTAAGGGAGGTGAGATATACCAGCCAAATAAAATGCATGATCCTTCACTGGGTCCTAGATCTGGGCAGGAGGGTTGCTATGAAGGACATTTTAGAGAACTATTTATTTAAAAACATAATCAATATTAAATTTCTTCAGTGTGTAATGATAGGTAATAAAGTTTTTATGGCTGGAGTATCATGATGACTTCACATTACTTTCAAATGGTTTGGGAAAAAAAGTGTATGTGTGCACGTGTGGAGAGAGAACAAGAACAGACCAAACGTTGAAATGCAGGAAATCTAGGTAAAAGAGGGGTGCCTTTGTACTACTCTTGTAAGTTTTCTGTGGGTTTAAACTCTTTCCAAATGAAAATGTGGGGAAAGTAAAGGAAGGAAACAGCTGGCCCAGGTCCCTGCTCAGTCCCTGCTTAGGGCCACACACTGAAACTATTTCAAAAGGATCAACAAAGGTACGCAAGCCATCCTTCTCCCCACCCTCCACACCTTTTACTTCCTTTTCTTCTTTTTTTAAGTGACGATGAGTAACTTTTTTGTTTAATTCTGAAATGGCTTCACACCACACAACAGATCTGGGCTGCCTCCACCAAGGCAGTATATAAACCAATGGTGGTTTCAGCTGCAGAATTCCTCACCTTCCCCTGCCCACCCCCACCACAAAATCTTGTGGGGCAGGGGTCCCCAACCCCTGGTCCTCGGTGGACGGGGCCGCACGGCAGGAGGTGAGCGGTGGGAAAGCGAGCGAAGCTTCATCTGCCGCTCCCCATCACTCGCATTACCACCTGAACCATCCCCCCACCCCACCGTCCGTGGAAAAACTGTCTTTGATGAAACTGGTCCCTGGTGCCAAAAAGGTTGGGGACCGCTGTTGTGGGGAACATACGATAATACTACCAGATAGGAGTTCTGGTTGAAGTAGGGATGAGGGCATTGGAGCCCTGCCCACCTTGCTCCCTTGACCTGTAAAGTCACCTCCTTAGACCCCAATGGCCCCTAGGAACATAGCTGGAAAACCACTATGCCAGAAGCAATTAACTCTAATAAGGGGGGCCAGGGCAAAGGATAATTAAGAAAGGCACATCATCAACAAAAACAGAAACAAAGAAAAACCTCCGATAATGCATTTTTTCAGTCAAATATAAATACTATTTTGGATCATCTATTATTAAATTAGCCATTTTTCTGTTCCCTTACAATAGTGTTCTCCATAGAGAACTAACCATAAGGTATAAACGATTAAATATTGCTTCTAAATGTGCTGAAATAGCACTGATTTCGGTGTCTTTAGCTTCAAAAAGCATTTGATGAACAAAATGAAAGAGGACAGGAATAAATAGAAAGTCATCCCATGTTCACGGATTAGAAGACTTAGTATTGTCAGGATGTCAGTGCTACCCGAAGCGGATCTACAGATCTAACACAACCCCCGTCAAAATTCCAAGTGGTTTTTTTTTCCCCCAGAAATAGTAAAATTCAGATGGAATCTCAAGGGACTCCAAATAGCCAAAATAGTCTTGAAAAAGAACAAAGATGGAAGTCTCACACTTCTTAACTTCAAAACTTATTACAAAAATACTGTAATTAAAAAAAATGTGTAATACTGGCACAAAGATAGAATACGAATGAATAGAATAGAGAGCCCAGAAATAAACCCTCACATACAGGGTCAACCAAGTTTTGACAAGGGTGTCAAGACCATACCATGGGGAAAGAAAGTCTTTGCAACAAATGGTGTTGGGAAAACTGGATATCCACAAACAAAAGAATGAAGTTGGACCCTCACCTTACACTAAATACAAACATTAACTCAAAATGGATCAAAGACCTACATGTAAGAGCTAAAACTATAAAATTCTCAGAAGAAAACGCAGGGTTTGGGAACATAACACTGGATTTGGCAATGATTTCTTGGATACGACACCAAAAGCACAGGCAACAAAAGTTAAAACAGTTAAGTTGGACTAGATCAAAATTAAAAACTGTAAATCACAGAACACAATCAACAGAGTGAAAAGGCAACGTATGGAATGGGAGAAAATATATGCAAATTATGTATCTCATAAGGGGTTAGTATTCAGAATTATAAAGAACTCCTACAACTCAACAACAACAAAAATAATTCAAAAATGGACAAAGGAGTTGAATAGACATGTCTCCCAAAAAGAGGTACAAACGTCCAATGAGCACATGAAAAGAAGTTCAACATCACTAATCATTAGGGAAATGAGAATCAAAACCATGAGATACCACCTCACACCCATTACTATCAGAAAGGCAAAAAATAACAAGTGTCGGTGAGCCTTGTGTGCTACTGGCAGGAATGTAAAATGTAAATGGTGAATGTAAAAATGGTCCTACTGTATAGCACAGGGAACTATATTCAATATCCTGTGATAAACCATAATGGAAAAGAATATGAAAAAGAATGTAGATATATATGTGTAACTGAATCACCATGCTGTACAGCAGAAATTAACACATTGTAAATCAACTATACTTGAATATATATAATTCCACTGCACTAGAGTGAAATAAAATGTAATAAACTATCACCAAAAAAAAAAAAAAAAAAAAGGAAGTTCTGACACAGGTTACAACATGGATGAACCTTGAGGACATTATGCTAAGTGAAATAAGCCACTCATAAAAAGACAAATATTGTATGATTTCACTTATCTGAGGTACCTAGAGTAGTCAAATTCATACGGAAAGGAAAACAGCAGTTGCCAGGGGTTAAGAAAGGGAAAAAGAGGAGCAGTTGTTTAATGGGTACAGAGCTTCCATTTTCCAAGAGGAAAAGAGTTCAGGAGATTGTTTGCACAACATGAATGTACTTAACACTAGTGAAGTTAAAAATGGTGAAGATAGTAAATTTTATGTTATGTGCCTGAGGCCCACAAAATTATCTCTGGGTCTTTATGCTATCTTTCTCATATGGTATGTGTATTTTACCACAATTTTTAAAGTTTAATACATATTTTTTTTTAAGCAATGGATGAAAGCAGAAAAAGAAAGCAGTCATCCTGTACTACTTGAGGCTGACTTTTGTTGATTTTTCTTAACAAGGACCTGAGGGTCAGTGGGTTGGCCAAAGAAGGCCAGGTGATTTACTGAAACCACAACAAATGAGAGAAGAGTTTGTACAATGTGCAAGAATAGACAAAAACATTTATAATCAAAGCTGCCATCTAAATGCTGACAGAGCTGTGGGTAACAGTGAGATCAGTACTACCCCCTGAACATGTGACCTCAGACGATAGCAAGTGCACAATGGTCAAAACTGTCAATGTTCCCTTTAACTCACTGCATCAAAATGTTCACTCCTCCTTGCCTGGTCTTTGCAGTTTTATGACCTTTGAGCCAGAAACATATGTGTGCATTTCATGAAGAGTAGTCTTACTATTTATTACTATTTACAGCTTTATAAATATCTGAAATTTATATGGTATTTATAGCTTACTATTTACATTACTGCACCTCAATTGAGGCTACTTTCTGTCTAAATATAGTCTCTGAACTTACCTCATGTTGATATGGAAGGAATTATTCTTGTTGACTTCAAAGCCCCCAGACCAAATACAATTGGGAACATCCATCAATCGGACACATAACAGCTGATCATAGTCATTCCGAGGCCAATGGAACACCACACTGGAACCAGGAAGGGTGGAAATGTAACCTTCAGGATTGGCTGTTCCCTAAAACACAGAGGATCATTGGCTTTAGTCAAAAGCCAAGTCAAGATGTAAATGCTTACTGAATATCTATCTATTCTGAGCCTTGCCCTCTACCAGGAGCTATTTAGGATACCAAAGGCACAAAATGATTATTCACATCAAAAAACTTAGTGTTAATGGGGAGATAAGCCCTGACATTAAAACTCACTGTGCTATTAAATAAACACTAGTTAATCTTCACAAGCAAGCTGCTTACCTGTCCCCTGGCAAATTCCCTCTGTGCAAATGCAAGCTTGTGAGATGATTTATTATCTAACAGGTAACGGGGAGCGAAGATTACCATACAGGTGTCGATATATCGGCCTCGGCCTTTCTTGACATCAATACCTACAAATAACAAGAACCAGTTCCATGAGTTAATCAGAAGGAAAAAAAATTGTGGTCTAAAAAAATTAAATAGCCTTCACAATTTCTCTGAAAAAACAATTGTAGCACCCAGAGAGTCTGTCAAGCCTCCTAAGAATGGAATGAAAACAGCAACAGCACTCAAAGTATTATACTTTATTCCCATTTAGGCCTTAAAAAGTCTCCATGGCAACATCAATGTTCCCATAGTTCCTAGCTTCTTCATAAAGTGTGTACAACTATGACAACAACTAAAACACACAGGTGTTCAGTTTGGTTTCCATTTATAAAACTAAGACAGGGACTTCCCTGGTGGCGCAGTGGCTAAGAATCCGCCTGCCAATGCAGGGGACACAGATTCAAGCCCTGGTCCGGGAAGATCCCACATGCCGCGGAGCAACTAAGCCCGTGCGTCACAACTACTGAGCCTGTGCTCTAGAGCCTGCGAGCCACAACTACTGAGCCCACGTGCCACAACTACTGAAGCCTGTGCGCCTACAGGCCGTGCTCTGCAACAAGAGAAGCCACTGCAATGAGAAGCCTGCCTGCCGCAAGGAAGAGTAGCCCCTGTTCACTGCAACTAGAGAAAGCCCGTGCGCAGTGATGAAGACCCAACACAGCCAAAAATAAATAAATTAAATAAATAAATTTATTAAAAAAAAACAACTAAGACAGTTTATGTGATACATTTCTGCTTACACATGGGACACAAAATTTCCTCCTAGAGAACCTGCCCCTTTTACAGCATATCCTAGAAATTTCATATTACTTAACTGGCTTCTGCAACTGCCCTGAACTCAGCTGACTCTTCTAGTATTTTCTTTACGCCCACTGCCCAAGAATCCAGCTCAAACATAATGCTAGATACTACAGAATTTATTCCTTCATAAAATAAATGTTTTCAGTACCTACTAGGTACTGGAAAAAAAAAAAAAAAAGGCAAACAAAACACATACCAAGGAAAAAAAGACACAATCAAAAAGAAATCTCAAAACACCAGATTCCAAAGAAAGAAAGAAAAATGAAATAGCACTATATTCTTAGAAACTCTGCTAACAACTTTTAAAAATACAAAACTCAGTGGATGAATTAATTCATTCATTCAGACAATGAATAAAGCAACTATATTCAAGGCATTGGGCTGAGCACTGGTTATAAAATGATAAAAATGTTTATGGTAAAAATAATAAAAATAATAACAGTTATTGAATTCTTAATACATGCTACACCCTCCACCAAAGGCTCATCATTTAATTCTCATAACAACCTCTTATGAGTTAGGTATTTTCATTCCTTCATTTTTGCAGATGAGGAAACTAAGGCAGGGAAAGCTGGGTAACTTGCCCTGGGTCACGCAGCCAGTAGGTGGCATAGCTGGATTTAAACCCAGGCAGCCTGCCTCGGGAGTCTTTGCTCACATCGTGACGGGACATATACAAGGACCCTACCAGTAGTCAACAAGTATCAAGAGACCATAAAAAGAGAAGAGACCTTAGGATATGACAACTAGGTGTCCTGGATGTTCCAATGTAATTCCAATTATAAATATTCTGATCTGTTAACTCCCTAATTCACTTGTACTGCTGTTCCTTTAATTTAAGTCTCAAAAATAGCTGAAAGACTGAGCAAATCACAGAAACAAAATCACTGAAACTCTGTATGAAGCAGCCTTTGCCTATTCAATGGGTGGAGCAAAAAAATGTGAGGAAAAAGTAAAGAAAATTATCCTCAGCTGGAGGATCAGATAAACTTGATTTCTTCTATTAAAAGTCTTAATGTCAACTTTAAAGTAGACAGCTTCCATGTCAAGGGAGCATACATGCAAATTCATGTTTAAAAAAACAAAAAGCTAACTCTACTTGGAAGAGAGTCAAACACTTAAACATATCACTGACTCCATGGGATTCAAGGTAAACAGCTAAATGATACCATCTCAATTTTTTCTTTTATAACACAACTCTTTACATCGACACTGTCCAAAACAGCCACTAGTCATACATGATCACTTATACTAACTGAAATGAAATGAGAAATTCAATTTCTTTGTCACACTCACCACAGTTTTTAGTAATGTACTCTCAAGTGCTCAGGAGCCACACGTGGCTAGTGCCTCCTTATTGGACAGTACAAGATAGAACATTTCCACCTTCCCAGAGAGTTAAATGGTTTCCCAACATTCAATACTAAACAGTGCTTTGAGATCCTTGGAAATTATACATGAAAGGAACGATGCACTGCTAACATTTTAAACCTGAGACACATTTAAATCAAGTTTGTCTTAACCCGTTGGAAAATCTTTTGCGTGTTCCGGGTGGCCACGAGGCAAACAGGTACAGCATCCTCCCCTTCCCTCACCACCCCGCCACGTCCAGAAGCTAAGCTAGTTAGGGCCTTCTAATTACCATAACCACCAAGTGCATTTTATTATATTTTTTGCCTCAAATGTGGACACCCCAGTTGTAATCCTACTTCTAACAGACTTCCCCATTTATCTGGACAAGTCACTTAACCTCTCTCTGCTTCAGTTTCAAGTAGAACAATGCTTCTTACCCTCTTAGGGTTTGCAAGTTTTAATGAATGCGTGGGAAATGCTTGGAGGATAAAAAGCATTCTAAGTGTTCCTATTATTCCCATGAAAAACAAGGATTCAAGCCAAACTGATACTCTCCTGACACAGGTGAGTCTGAAATTAAACAGAGCCTCAGACCTCAAAAGGGCAGTGTTCAGGTGGCTCCTTAGATCCCTAGGAGAATAGATCTGTGTTGATATCAATCTAGCATTCAGAGAACAGATACCTGACCCAATGCCAAATGAGAATATCAGCACTTGCAGCGAAGCCAAAATGTATGGCCGACTTATCCCTCCAAGCCTGAAGTCATCGGCCCGTGGTTCCGATTCTCCCGCTGCCCCAAATATAACCCACCAATGTTATAGATCAGCCCTGGGCGGTTTCCTTGCTGGATGACTCTCAAAGCTCGGACGCCACTACCACCATCCAGCGAGAAGCCCTGACACCAGCCCGGCATGCCTTCAGGATGAATCCCCCTTCCGATTCTCATCGTGCAGCTGTGGAGCAGAAAAGCAAAGATGTATACATTCATCCATAAGAAAGTCTTATCTTCCTGTTCTAACCAGGAAGCACTGCTGTGGCTATCAGCCAAAATCAGAACTTGAATACTGACTCTTCCACATTCTCATGTGATTCCCAAACACAGAAAGGCAATTAATCAGTGGTCAAAACTCTATCTTAGAGGCAGCCACAGTTCAATAGTGTGTAAAAATGTACTGACCTCCACAACTAAATGCTTTAGGAGAAAACATTATGATTCTGTGAGCATAAGACAGGAGGAAAATGCTACAGTATCCGAAAAACAAAGATTCAAAGCAAACTGATATTTTCCTGACTCCGCAATACCCTGAACATATGAGAGAAGTGCATACAGAAGATGCAGACAGTGGTACATTCTTTCAAGGGCCTGGTACTATTGTAACAGCAAAGCACCATTTAGTTGGTCAGCGTCCTGTCATGGATCCTGGAAACATAATTCCTGAATGTGTGTTCCAGCTCTACCACTAACAAGCAATGTAACCTTGGGCGGGTAACTCTTTCTGAGCCTCAGTTTCCTCATCTAAAAACAAAACAAGATTCCCTGTGCTGCCTAATCTACTGAAATGTTGGGAGAATCAAATGAGATAGTCTACGTGGAAATGCTTTGGGGACTGTGATTCCGTACATAAAACAAACTGTGTTTCAAACGTCAGGTCCTGGATGCTGACCACGTCAAGTGGCTGTTTGTGGCCAGCACCCTGGTCAATCCTCTCCAGACTCCAGCAGCAGCCCAGAGTCCAGCCCTCCCTGGTAGATGCATCTGTATCCACTGGCATGTACTACTCCCTAAGCCCTCCTGTAAGTTTGCAGCACATTTCTACAGATAACGGGGTATGGAATATTAGCAGTATCAGATACACTTAAGTATTTTTGGATTAAGGCTATAAATCAGAAGACCCCTGTAAAAAGCAGAATGCCAAAACCAAGAACAAACGTGAATTAATGCTCTACATGCAACGAGTGCTTTGAGATCTTGAAATGGCACATTTTATTTCAACAGAAAAAAAGATGGACTTCAAAAGCTTACACAAAACGACCTGGACTGGATTAACAGGGTGGAGGCTCTACCAAAGGGCCATCCATCTCCCGTCTGAAGTCAGCTCCTCTGCCTTCTCTGAGAGCTTCCAGGGGAGACAGACCGTGCAGAGAAGAGAACATGTGGGTCTCTCTCCATCAGCAGAGTTATGAATAGAAGCGCTTCAATACACGGAAGATAAAACTGGCTTTCATTATAAACCAACCAAATGGTTTATTTTCAATATCGAGTAACACAGAAATTAGATCTGAAAAAATCCCATTAAGTCATGGTCCTGTTCCCCTGCCAAGTCAGGATTGTTATCTACAGTATATTTCTACTTACACGGATCTACTAGAGCCTCTGCTAATTTCTCCCTTCCCTGGGAGCTTACTTCCCCTTCCCATAGATGACTGCACTCACAGGCTTGGCTGCTCTTTGTCAGCGTAGCAGAACAAGAGAGGGCTCAGGCTCCGGGCCAGCTCATGCTCTTCAAACTGGCCTGCAGCATCCATTCTTGCATTGTCCTGTCTGAAGATCAGTGGGAGCCCTTTAGGAAGGAGGGGGAAAGTTTATATCAATCCCAGCCGGTGTACCCAAGACACATACAAATAATAAAAGGAAAAAAAAATCATCAAGGGGGAAAATGGTGAAAACTGAATTTATTTAGTGGGCTTGCTCAGTCGTTGTCCAAAAGGCCAGTCTTGACCATGATTAAGCACTTCTTATGGAAACAGGAAAGTAAGTTTAGCAGCTTATACTGTTGAGGTAATCTGTTTGCATTGGCTCCATTTAGTTAGCTGAGCAGATAAATCTGAATTCCCACGACCAACTCCAAAGGCCTACTTGAGCACCCTCTGTACGTACCTGTTTTGTTAATCAACCAATACGGAGCCGAAATGAAGATCTTTAAAGATCCTTCTGCTCGACACACGATCCGGATGGTGAGGTTCAGCTGCCGCCGGTTGATGTCATAGAGCCTCATTCTTACCATATAGTTTTGGGTTCCAGATGGAATAAGCAATTCTTTACAGAGTGGAAAATTTTCCAATGACACCCCTAAAGAAGATACAAGCTATTGTCTTTCAGGGTTCTCACTTTAGTTTGTCAAAACAGTCCACAGCCAAACTGAATTGGATTGCTCTGGAAAAATCAATAACCACGTATTCAACTGGCAAAAATCTCATTAGAATGGCCATCTTCCTTTAGCTGGGGTGAGAATAAATATGGTCTAGAAGTCACACTAGGGAGTCTGAACTGCATAATAATTCGAAGAATGAAAGTACCCAAAGGTTATCAGTAACAGCTCTGGTATTAAGAGTTTACTATACCTCAGGCTTTCGGCGGGGTGCCTGAAACCCAGTAAAGGCAAGTAGAGAGTAAGAGTTAAGGTTTTCTGCAGCCTCCCTGCCTGGATTCAAATTCCCAGTCTGCCCTCACAGCTGCGTGATGTGTGGCAAGCCATTTAACCTCACTGGGTCCATCTGCCAAATGGGGATAATAAAAGTATCTACTTCTCGGGCTTCTTATTAAAAGTGACGATCCACAGAGAGCATGAGTGTGAAGATGAGGAGTGCTTGGTGTGCACCCAGTGATGAGGGGGGTCGGGGGAGGACATTTCCATACCATACAGGGGCTCAATAAATATTTGTTGAAGAAATAATAAATGTCAGGACAAAGACCTATTTTCTTTAAAACAGACAACTAGAATTGCACTATTTTTCTTTTCTAAATTAAACTCGAGGATTTACATATTCAAAAATGTAAGCTTATCCCTGGGGGGACACATTGCTGAAGTTCAGTGAGTTTCAGGATCCTCATCAGTAAAATGGGGAAACCAGCTGTCCCTCTGCCTGAAACATCCATTGTTGTGAAGATCAAATGAGACGATATTATGAAATCACAAAACTGTGAAAAGGTAAATATCTAAGTCCTTATTATTTCAACATGTCTACAACAGCCTTAAAGAAAACTTACTTCCTGTCCCAAATCCAGAAGTACCTTGTTGCTACAAGTGCTACAAATATGATAATGACCCCCTCCCTTGACTTCATTCATCCCTACAAACGAAACTACTTGATACATTAACTATTCCAAACCTCAATGTCTTTGTCAGTAAAATGGGACAAGTAACTATTGCTGTAAGGATTATATAAGATCAAGTATATGAAGGTATTTGACATACTGCCTGAAGTACACAGTACGTGCTTACCTAACGTTTTTCCCTTTCGTGAAAAGAAAAAAGAGACATGATTTTGCTCATTCTGCAGCTGGTAAAAAGCACAGTTTGAAAAGATGAAATGACTTCCTTTACTCACACACCAAGCGAGCAACATTAAGAAAAAAGGCTGTGTTGGGGCTTCCCTGGTGGCGCAGTGGTTAAGAATCCGCCTGCCAATGCAGGGGACAAGGGTTTGAGCCCTGGACCAAGAGGATCCCACATGCCGCGGAGCAACTGGGCCTGTGCGCCACAACTGCTGAGCCTGCGCTCTGGAGCCCACAAGCCACAACTACTGAGCTCTCATGCCACAGCTACTGAAGGCTGCGTACCTAGTTCCTGTGCTCTGCCGCGGGAGAGGCCACCGCAATGAGAAGCCCACGCACCGCAACGAGGAGTGGCCCCCGGTCGCCATAACTAGAGAAAGCCCGCGTGCGCAGCAGCGAAGACCCAACGCAGCCAAAAATATAAATAAATAAATTTATTTAAAAAAAAAAAAAAAAAGGCTGTGTTGAGTGCTTGCTCTGTAAATCTTTTAGTTTTGTTCGGGTGTTTTGTTTCGATGATTTTCTATATTAGAAGTTTTGCTTTTCTTTTTTTAACTGCATAGATCCTTTGAGCTGGCTTATTGAGGTATTATATGTGCTACAATTTCTCTAAAACTTTCTCAAACAGTCACAAAATATCCACTGACACATTCACAGAATTATTACAGACAGTTATCTGGCTAAATCCTTACCCAGCTCAATGTTCTGGGAGGTATCAGCTGTGTGGAGAGCCACCTCTTTGCCAGGTTTCAGTGTCCCATTAATGGGCATTCCTTTAACATAAAAATCGAGTTCACAAGGTAACAAGTTGCAGATTACCACTGTCGGCAGGAGATATATGGTATGCCCAGGCTGTCTGAAAATCTGTTTTGCGCTGTCAGAAAATATGTTGGAGGGCATGTAATCTGGATAATTCTCTTTCTTTATGGCCACACAAAACCTATGACGACAAAATGGTGTAAAGGTCATCAGCTTGAATGAAGAGCTTGAATTTTTTTCTCCTTAGCTAAGTATGAGACAGGATAACATTAAAATGGCACAATAATTTAGTAAGATATTTGCAGTTTTCAATCCAAACACATTCACTAAGGCATAATCAAATGACAATAAAACGTACAGATTTTAAATGTTCCGTCTGATGAATTTTGACAATTATAGACACCTCTATAACCATCACCCAAAACCAATTACAGAATATTTCTCTCACTCCAGAAAGTTCCCTCATATCCCTTTCCAATCAATATCCTCTCCCATCATTCAAGCAACCACTTTCTGATTTATCATTATAAATTAGTTGTGCCTATTCTTGAACTGCATATAAATGGAATGATACAATATGTACAACTCTTTGTGTCTGGGTTTATTTTTGCATAACATTAAGTTTCAACAACATTCAGCCATGCTGTTGTATGCATCAGTATTTCATATGCCAATGTGTGAATATACCATTTTTTAAAAATTCATTATCCTGTTGATAACCAATTGGGTTGTATCTCCAAATCAATTTAGCAAGAATGGAAATCCTAACAATACTTGAGTCTTCCAATCTGTGAACTTGGTCATATCTTTCCACTTAATTATTAGGCTTTCTTTAATATCACTCAGCAACGTTTTGTAATTTTTAGGGTAAAAGATTGGTACATCATTCCTTAGACTGATTCCTGAATAATTAAATTTTTTTTGGTGCTACTGTAAATGGTGTTTTTAAATCACATTTTTCAATTGTTCATGGCTAGAATATAGCATATAATTATTGATTTCTATAGGTTGATCTTGAATCCTAAAATCTCGATAAATTTATTAGGTCTCATGCTTTTTTTTTTTTTTTTTTCCCCCCCCCGATACGCGGGCCTCTCACTGTTGCGGCCTCTCCCATTGCGGAGCACAGGCTCCAGACGCGCAGGCTCAGCGGCCATGGCTCACGGGCCCAGCTGCTCCGCGGCATGTGGGATCTTCCCGGACCGGGGCGCGAACCCATGTCCCCTGCATCGGCAGGCGGACTCTCAACCACTGCGCCACCAGGGAAGCCCTCATGCTTTTTTTAAAAAAAATTTATTAATTTTCAAATGTTAAGCTAATCTTAACTGGGATAAACCACACTAGCTGGAAGCTATTTGGTAGTATTTTGTTAAGAATTTTTGCATCTCTTCATGGGGGAATACTGGTTTGTAGCTTTCTTTTTCTTGATAATAATTGTATCAGTTTTGGTATCAGGGATATGCTGGCCTCATAAAATGAGTGAGAACTATTCCCTCCTCCCCTACTTTCTGAAAGCGTCTGCAAAGAGCTGGTATGATTTTCTCCTTAAACATCTGGTAGAATTCACTAATGAAGTTATATGGTCCTAGAATGTTCTCTGAGTGAAGGTATTTTATTATAAATTAAATTTCTTTAACAGATATTGGGCCATTTGGATTTTCTGTTTCTTCTTTGTGTTACTTTTGGTAGTCTGTGTTTTTCAAGAAATTTGTCATTCCGGTGTGGAATTTATTTGTATAAAATTGTTCATACATCTCCTTTTAATCCTTTTAATATCTGTAGGATCTATAATAATTCTCCATTTTTCATTCCTTATACGCTAATTTGTGTCTTCTCGCTTTTCATCACGATTGGTCTTATTAGAGGTTTATCAAATTTATGAATCCTTTCAAACAGCCAGTTTTGACACTGTTGATTTTTCCTATTGTTTGTTTTCTGCTTCACTGATTTCCATACTTATTTTCTTTCTCTTCCTATTTCTTTGTGTTTAATTTATTCTTCTACCTTAAGGTAGAAGTTTACATCAGTGATTTTACATCTTCCTTATTTTCTAATGCGAGCATTAAAAGCTATACATTTCCCTTCAGAACTGCTTTTGCTGCAACTCCTACATTTTAATATGTCCAGTTTTTATTATCATTCACTTTGAAATATTTCCTTTGTGATGTCTTTTTGACCATGGGTTGTTTAGAAATGTATTGTTTAATTTTCAAGTATCTGGGGATTTTGTAAGCATCTTATTGTTTTGGTTTCTAGTTTAATACTATTATAATGATGAAATACATTGTGTAGGGTTTCAATTCTTTAATATTTATTGATCTTATGGCCCAGGAGATGGTCTCGCCTGATGAATGTTCCACACATACTTGAAATGAATGTGCAATCTGGAATTGTTGGTTACAGTGCTTTATAAATGCCTATTGTGACAAGCTGGTTGACAGCACGATTCAAATCCGTTTATATCTTTATTGTTTTTGTTGGTCTGTTTTATAAATTACTGACAGGGAAGTGTTAAAGTCACCGATTTTGTCTGTGTATTTATCTGTTTCTCCCTTTAGTCTGTCAGCAATTGGCAAATCTCAATAAAGGGTAATAGTGGAATTCTTTACAGTCTTCTACTCCTCTGTAAGTTTTACTAAATGGATGCCTGTTTTTGCTATAAAGGAAACTAAAGCTGATCATCTCTAATCTAAATAAGTTTAAAGTCTAAGTTTAGAAGGATCTAACAACAGCAATCCAGTATTTTTTCTAACATATGAATTTAGTAACATATTACTTGCACGCTTCAGAAGAGGAAACAGGAGTCTAAATGATAATATAATTTTGTCAGAGTCCCCATGAAAAGTCAGCACTAGGTGCATGAACCTTCACCCAAATTCCTTTGAGTCATTTGAAAAACTCCCAACCCCAGGACTTTGCTTCCCAATTTAGGAATGGGAACTGGCCATTGTTTTTTCTTCCCTCCCTACATGTCTTCTCTTTATGCTGATGCAGACACACCAGTTTCTAATCGTATATGTGTGAGTAGTGGGTTTGTGATTGTTTCTTCCATAAATATTAGAAAAGTAACAGCCATGCTCCTGCCCACGGTTAACTCATGAATTCGTATGAACCTAACACTCAGGGAATAAAAGAACTTAAGGAATAAGAACTTTAGGGCTTTAAATAAGCACACCTGAATCACTCGGGGTCCTTAGAGAAAGAATGAAGAAAAATGGCAAAATATACATGTCACTGCTGTGCCACACATACCTGAAGAATCGGCTTTTTTCCGCATCCATAGCGTGGCACTCTCGTTTGCTGCTACTAACCTCTGTAGTCTTCACTACATTGGTCCAGTGAATAGGAGCCTTACAGAAAAACACACCCAGTCCTTTGGGCCGGGCCTGTAGCCGCCAAGAAGTGAGGTGTAAAGGCACGGCAAATGAATCACCTGGCATGATGGCGGGAAGGACCACGGGCTCTGCCACAGAAACACGGGTTAGCAGTTTCAGGATTGGTTGCCCACCCCTAAGTCCATCTAGGGTAAAAGAAGGACAATGTCAAAACTTACTGTCTGGAGCTGATGGGCTGTCCAGTCTTAGTTCCATTGGCGTCTCAAGTCTGTTCTTCACAATGAGGGCTGATCGGACAGTGATCACTTTCCGAGCACTGCCTTCCATGGTCACTGCAAAGACGACCCGGACAGGTGGGAGTGAAGAGAACTGTGAAAAAGAGAAAAGTAATAAAGAGTTTAGCTGTGCTTTTGAAAAACACACAGAATACAATAATACCGACCAGAATGCCTACATCTAAAGCATCTTATTGTTACTATAGCTCTTCAGTGAAATGAGTCATTAAGCCCTAAAACCACTCCACTTTAATAAGAGTGAATACCCTCTTAATACTCACTACAGTAACAGCCAATTCTAAAGAGTTGTCTGTACTGGTATGCCTTTCACAGGAAAAATAACTTTTTTTTCTAAATGTCATAAAATTTACTCGATATGCCCATACACTATTTGCTGACATGCCTATTAAAAAACCAACCAAATACATCAAAGAACTTTAAAAACAAACTTCTTCTTCACAATAATTTCTAAGTTCTGTTCAGTAATCACTCTTCTTCTGAACACCAAGAAACTCAAGATAATGGAGGGAAATCATTTATTTATGGTCTTGGTTGGATGCAGCCACTACTTTCTTTTTGCGTATGTTCATTCACATATTCAAAACACATTTTGTACTGCTACCATGTGCCAGGAATTTAGCAATTTTTTTAAGTATAAAATTCCACATTAGGCATACCAAAGAGAAGGTTTCTAAAACTATTATTCTGTGTATCCAGAACATATTGATACTGCTTATTGATTGGAGAAACAAATGACACAACATCCAAGCTTTCCATACTGCCAGTTTTTTCATTAAAGCAAACAGTATGTGAAAACCAACCTAATAAACAATCAAATGACAAGCTCCATGTTTTGAGCCAAAGCTTCTAGACAGTCCTAATGAAAAGGCAAAGTACAGTCTTCTAGGGTGCTATTAGAGGGACACAATCATCACCAAAGCTTCCAGTGACCCAGCCCAGTAAAGCCCCAGGAGAGCCAAGGCCCAATAACAATTGTTTTAAATCTTGATCTTGTTGCCTCTATGCTTAGCTGAAATTTCACATTTTGAAACTTACTAGCCTCAGGGAAAAGAAATTATAAGCAAAAACCTTAAAAAAGCATTTTAATGTCATCCTGTGGTGATGTTTCAAAAATCAGATGAGGGAAGAAAAAATCTATTTTTCATTCTTAGTTATATTCATGACCTTTGGGCCAAAACCTATAAAATATGTATAGCCATACAAAGGTTAATTTATATTTAACTTGGAGAGAAAAGGAGACCTCGGACTAAAACATTTGTCTTTTGTTCTCCTTCCCTGTAATATTCAGTCTCACATACGAAGTTAGGTGAAAACATTTTCTTGCAAGTTCTTGTAAAAGGAAGGAAAGCATTAATAGGAAAGGAAAAAAGTCCAGTGGTCATCAAGAACTATGCGTGTAAACACAGTGACACAGGAAAATCATACTCACATAAACCTGGGGATGGATAATATTTGTCCTACTGCTCGGGCTACCAATCTAAGAAAGATTCCAAAAGTCAGAGATTCAGTACAGACCTAAGATAACAGGCATCGTTAAATTCAATGACAATATAAGTTGCTTGAAAAGATGGTTTTATAAATACTATTAGGTAAAGTATGTTCTACTATGAAAAGAAAACATCTTGGAAAAAATGGGAACAGCAATATTCATTTTACAACCATTCAGGATATACAAAATTTCTCCGGAATGCATCAATAAAATAGAAAGGTATCTCTGGGGGGGAATTAGTCCTTTTATTACTGGACATGAACTTAGGCAGAAAAGTAACTTTGAAAGAAAGTTTCTTTTTCTAAGAAACTTGGGGCACAAGAGAAGAACAATGAAAAGAACAGTGTCCTCCAAGAATACATTTCATGAAGCAGCAAGCATGAGGAAGGCTACAATATCTCTGCAAATCTGTGCTTTCCTATTCATCACTGGCTACTCAAAACTGAGCACAAGTTACCCCATGAAGTATACCCCATGAGTATCTGGCAAGAGCACCCGTGGTGGTCATATCAGCTAGGATGTCAGCCTCTGCCTGCACATTCTGGTCAGGGATGCCACATTCCCCAAGGCTGGCCCTCCAACCCCTAGAACTATAGGCTGGGGTAAAATCAGGGCAAGGGTGTGTGAGAGGATGCATGACCAGAAAATAAACAACAGTGGACATCTATCTTTATGCCGGAGAGGAGAATTTGGAGACACGGAGCTAGAAGGATCAAGAAGCAGCATTATAAAAGCGTAAAGAAGACAGTGTATGAAGGAAGCATAACAATATGTGAAATAAAGCCAATATATGTTTGGCAAACTCGCAAATTGCCGGTTGGCCCGGGTGAGTATAAAATGGATCTGCACAGGCTGGATAACATGTGTTCATGCCAACCTTAGATCTTGTTTCTCTACTAAAACTAAGCATTGGCTGGCTTATCTACATAGTGATTACCAATGCCTATGACTGACCCAAATGATCTTGGGTATTCCTCCCAGGGCTAGGAAAAATGAAGAATGAGAAAATGTCACTAGAGCAAGGCCTGTCTGACAGCCTGGCTTTAAGGGGGTGTGGCTAGGGCATAATCCTGCCACTGAACACGCTTTCCACATCCGCGCACCGTAGAGGAAGAGGAGTTCTTATCTGGCGCAGCGTATCGGAAGAAGGTCCCGACTTTGTCCACTGACACTGGGCTCACTTGCTCCCAGCCATTCACTCTCACTTGCAGTTGATGGATCCGGAGGTCATGGGTGTGTCTGTCACAAGAACACAGAAAAAGGCATTAAGCACAATCCTACCCAGGGAAGAGAAGCAGAAGCAGAGCCTGAAATCGGATTTACTATATAATGACATAAAAACCCAGTTGTCTAAATAAACCTTTCGGTGATTACCTAATGCAAGGGAAATCAAGAGGATATTTTAACTGAGTCTCACACTTAAAACTGCAAGATCTATAAAGCCTGAGCAAGAGTGGCATCTGCCCCCCCTTGATACAAACCACGTGAATCCTGTGAACTAGCTCAGGTCTGTCCCCCACCCACCCCTACCTCAAACTTTATGAAATGACATCAGCTAAAAGTGGTTCAGTGGGGTAGTAGAAATGCTGTGCTAGCAATTTAATCACACAACCATACTCTTGGAAATGCCTAAAATGACATTTTCTCCTTGGTTCTTTTGTGGAATCTCCTGCTTCTCAGTCGTTGGGCTTTGGTCCTACAAGACTACAGACACGGTAACGAGAGACGGAGCCCACAGAGTTTCCAGGCTGAAGTGCGCAGCTGAAACTGCAGTAGAAGGCAGTGGGCAGGACAGGAGGAACAGGAGGAAACTGCACATTTAATTCTATTTATAGATTTTGCCTAATTCAAGCCAGAAGCCTGAAATGGGGAAGTGGATTTGAGGCTGACAGGAAGGAAAGGGGGGAGGGAGGCAGGGCGTGGGGGACAGAATGCCAAAGGGTGAAACACCAGAGAAGGCATTTATTTCGATGAATTCAAGCAGGCAGGTGGGACTTGAAATGGGTTACAAAACGTAGAAACTAAAACAGAAACGACAAAAAGGCCAAACCCCTTCTGATACAACAGAGGCAGTGCTTACTGAGAAATACAGTGAACAGTTCTATAATTTAGCTTCTCCAGGAACCTTGTAGAACAGAAAAATGCTCACCACTCATCCCTGGAAATTCTAACGTGGCTTCCAGGTACGTGTGCCCAGCACAGTGATTTTTTTTTTAAAACTATTTTTTTGCTGAAAATCACTGGAGGCCCCCAAGTTCAGAACTCGTGCCGCTAGGGAGTAAATGTGCACCGGCGCAGAGCTTTACGGAAGGAAGAAGCGTTTGAGGAGCAGGTTTGCGCACAAAGAATTAAAGCACCATGAACGCATGTGACCACAGAAGGCCGAAGTCAATCTCTTAAATTTGAGATAATGAGGCTCAAACACTAAAATCTTAACCTATTCGTTATCCGCTGGACAGCGCTTCCACTTAAAAATGTGTGCATATAACATTCTATTACATATTTTATGATCTCTCGGTAACTAGACACAACGTTCTTTCACATTTACTCCCGTCCCCTGGCTGGCGATTTTGAGTGCATCAGTGAGCAGTCTCCCTAGGTGAGTTATCCTCTCCTCCTTAGAATCAGAGTATCTTATCATTATTGGCTCTGCTTCCTGAAACCATCTGCCTGCTAAAAGTGTTGCGGCATACGTGTATCTTAAAATTGAAATCAACACGCTCTGATAACCTTTTAATAATACCATGTCACCACTCCATCATGCAATGAACTGGAGGGTTATGATCTGTCTAGGCTTCAACCGAATTACTTACATGGAACACACCAGTTACCACCTCACATGTCAAATAAAGGGATGATTAATGGAAAGAAGTGTATTTCCAAGATGGTCATTATATTTTTTTAAAAGGAAACACTGATTTCCTAAATACCTTTTAAAAATAAAACATTAAAGTCATTAACAAAAGAAAGTGAAAAGGCAAAACACTAGGGACAATTATTTTTTTCTTTTTTTTGAGGCAAAGAGTAAACCATGCTTTACCTGTGCCTTAGCTTTCCTCTTGCTTCAAATTCAAAGGGAATCTCTTCACCCGTGAGGACCTCCCGCCACTCGCTAACATTGTGAGCGTCGTCAAGAAATGTTCCATTCCCTTCTGGAACCAGCCCTGGACTCCCGCTGTGAGACAGTGCAGCCCTGGAACCAAATCAGACAATACCAGCTAGTCCCCCTTTCCCTCCACCTCCCTCTCACGCAGCTCAGGGCTGGAAGCAGAAACCCTCCCAGAACGCAACTCACAGACGTAACGCCACATAACCTGGCTGCAAAAGAGGACCTAAAAGGTCAGTAACTCAAGTTATCTTCATGATCGATCACAACTTCATGACCGAAACTTTAGAAACAGCTAAAAGCTATCACTGCATAGTCACGTTCCACCAGCAGCAGAGTCTGGTACACCGAGGGTGATGTAAACTAGTCATGACTTCTAACAGTAGTATTTAAGTGACCATCTAGAATTTAACAGACCTGAGTTGTTTTTAAAAAACAAAGATGTCTCCTCTAGAGCATTCTCATACTTGGTGGAGGTGGGAGAAATATGGTCTCAAGTCAGCTGATTCTGTTACTCACTTCATACACTTTATTACCTAAACTGGAAAGATCAGCCTGCATTTGGCAAGTTGAGCCAAGGTCTAAGCAGGCAGAAAGTTGTGAGAGAACGTTCTCACTTGGCTTAGGTAGACTCTCATTTGTTCTCCTAACTCCACCCAGTTCCGTCTGGACTCAAGTGCGTTTTAGGTTTGGAAGATAATTCGGGGTGGGGGGGGAGGGGATATGAGAGGTGTTTTCAAGCCCTTCTGGAAGAAAAATGGGCAACACATTTGGCTTAATAACCATATACAGTTTGGTTTTTTGTTTGTTTGTTTTTGTTTTTTTGCGGTACGCGGGCCTCTCACTGCTGTGGCCTCTCCCGTCGCGGAGCACAGGCTCCGGACGCTCAGGCTCAGCGGCCACGGCCCACGGGCCCAGCCGCTCCGCGGCATGCGGGATCCTCCCAGACCAGGGCACGAACCCGTGTCCCCTGCATTGGCAGGCGGACTCTCAACCACTGCGCCACCAGGGAAGCCCTACAGCTTGTTTTAAAAGGGGGAGTAGAATGGGGGCCGAGGAGAAAGATTGGAATGACTTTTGTTTCACATCCTTAATTTGCTCAACTTTTACTTTCAAAACAAATGGATACCAGGATCAAGATCACAATTTGGATACTTCAGACTCAAGACCTGCTTCTCTGACTACAGACTCTACACAGAACCAGAACCTCCAACGTGGACCTCAGCAAGACAGCAAGCTATTGATTCAAATACAATCAATCCCAAGAGCCTCAGGGAGGCCCCACCTTACTCTGCTGGGCTGGTACACAGGAGCCTTTGGTGGCAGAGATGGCTCTAGGTGACAGATTCAGTGTTCCTTACCTGGTGGGTGTGGTAGTCAGGGTGGCAAACCACAAAGTGCAGCCCGTGTGATTCCTCAGAGCAAAAGGGACGAATGGCTGCCGGCGTTTTGGGGCCTTCATCTCTGCTGTGAGCAAACAGAAGGCCGTCAGCATGTGCCCCGGCCCGTGTGGCAGACACCCTCCCCATACCTGGAGACAGTGCCCAAAATTGTCTCTGTGCAAAGGAGCTGAAGGTGGAGAGGAAAAAAAGGAACCACCACAGGTGTGTCGACAGGCCAAGTGGGATGTCTCCATGTATTCTGCCGCCTGCTACGAGATGACTCGGTCCCCCTGACAACTGACTGTGATGTGTCACGACTCTCACCCCACAGTTCTCCAGCAACTCTTATGGGCCTTATCTCAGAAAAGGGCATCAGACCTAATACAGCTGGCATCAGGAAAGAAAGAGAAATGGATCCCCACTACTCCCAAGAAATACAGTCTAAATGGACAACCTGAATTGCGGCAAGATAGATCACGTGTACTTGTATCACTCTGTCCAAAACACTGGTACTTTAAGGAAGCCTCCTTTTACATAAGAGTTACACTTGAGTCATATTATGCATATTATAACAAAACGAAAACATTCTTTCCTATACTCTTATGTGAATAGTTGTGGGTTTTCCTCCCTGGAAGATGAAAAATATACTACCCCAAAGCTATTTAAATAAAATTTTTAGCTCATTTTTTTTTACACAGGTATCACCACCACCTGCTATCAGGCGGGGACTACGGAGACTACAAGAGGAGCGCAAAATATGATCTCCTTCACAAAACAGCTTCTCATCAGGGAAACTGGAAAGAAACACTGATCAATACAAAACTATAAGTAACCAAATTCTAGGGAGAGTGTGACCTGACTCTAAACACTGCAAGCAGTCAGAGGGGAGGCTGAGGAAGGCTCTCCGGTGGCCGGGCTGCCCGGGGGGCTGCCCGGGGACCTGCCCGCCGCAGAGGCCCCCAGCTCCTTCCAGAGTCTGCATTTCCTCTACTGGCCACACAAAGAAAGAGGGAGGTGGCAGCAGGAACCACAAAGGAAGCAGCAACCCAGTGCCGGGAGCCTCCTGGCTGATGTGCTCAACGCCACATGCCCCACCAACAGAAAAGAGCGAGGCCCAGTCTTACTGTGTGTCTGGCTTTAAAGCACAAAGACAGCCCGAGAAAGACCGGGACCCAAATGGTCTGCAGCTGTGGAGAAAATGACATCTAGAGGTGACTGCACTCTCCAACTGAGAACACTACAGCAAAATTCAGTTCGTCTTCCAGGACCGCAGGTTTCCTGCCAGTGAAATGAAGAAGGCAAATTGCACCAGGGCCTGCCTCTCCCACTTCTCGAGAACAGCACAGGGCAATATCCTAAGTCAGCGCCACGGCTTTTAAAAAGTAATCACATTTTCGTTTTCCCTTTGTAGCTTCTAACGTTTTCAGAAGTCAGTGCTCTGAACGCTGCGCAACAAGCCACCTCAGGTTAAGGCGAGCTCTGCTTTGGTAAGAACCACAGCTCAGGGGCACCTAAATAAATGAGTAGTCTCCAGCATGTTCCCACAATTTTGTGGTTAGCTTTTAGAGACACCCCAGATACATATAAAGATAATCTCTGCCTAGAATATGCCCATTTCTCACCCCAATGGCCTCACTCAGTTTCCAAGGTTTGCTTTAAAAAAAAAAAATTAGTGTTCATCAAGTTGAAAATTAAGGAGTAGCTGTGAGGCTGCGGACAAGAGCAGAGGGGGAGTAAAAAATTTAAGAGCTGTCAGCAGGGTAAACAGTGCTCACTGTGGCACCTTGAAAGACACCTCCCTCTCCCTAAGCGAGAGAGCTACTCTGCTTTATTACAGGAGATAAAGGGCCCAGGAGGAAAAGAAGCCAGATGTACTTTCATATCCCACTGTGAGCCAGACTCAAAGTTTCCATTTGCAAATTAGATTTAAAAAGAACAGGTGGCAAACGGCTTTGATCACATTGTAACACAGAATAAAGTACTAGGAATCCATATAAAGATATTCACGAGTGTATTGCTTTGGAATTAAGTAGCCTGGGTAGGCACACTGCTAAGGTCCCCAAGCTTCTTGTGTGGATTACACATACCAGCAGAGACCTCAGCAACCTGCCTCTCTGAGGATAAAAATACAAGGAGTGCTCACAAATCCACACTCAACACCAGGAGACAGATCTGACATCTTCCACACTAGGGTCCAAATCAACTGTGTACTCGCGTTGGGCACAGCACCAGAGAACAAAATCCCCAAGTCTGGACTTCCCTGGTGACGCAGTGGTTAAGAATCCGTCTGCCAACGCAGGGGACGTGGGTTCGAGCCCTGGTCCGGGAAGATCCCACATGCCACAGAGCAACTAAGCCCGTGTGCCACAACTGCTGAGCCTGCGAGCCACAACTACTGAGCCCGCGTGCCACAACTACTGAAGCCCCTGCGCCTAGAGCCCGTGCTCCGCAACAAGAGAAGCCACCGCAGTGAGGAGCCCGCGCACTGCAACAAAGAGTAGCCCCTGCTCGCCACAACTAGAGAAAAGCCTGCACACAACAACGAAGACCCAATAGAGTCAAAAATAAATTAGTAATTTTTTTAAAAACTTAAAAAGAAAAAGAACTCCCCAAGTCCACCAAAGAGAACAGTATTCCCTGGTGGCCTCAGAAAACCTCCTCTAGTGACCAGACCTAATTGGTTCATAGGCTGAAAGAACCCCAAGCTCCTCATGTCCAAGTTCAGCTTAAATGGATCCACCTGAGGAAATGTCTGCCCCTGCGGATTTGCTCCCCAGGGCAATGTGGCCATTATAAACAGTGCGGGTTCTTATGCTATGTAAGCAGCTCAGCCTATCAGAAAGGACCTGGCTTGTAAATCCTGAGAAATAGATTAAAGTCCCAGGTCTGCTACTAGCCAGTCACGTGAATGGAGGCAAGTTACTTAGTTTCTCTGAGCTTCTGTCCCCATGCTAAAAAGGAATAATGCTTTGCTTAGCCTGAAAGATGAAACAACAGATATAGAAAAGCTGAGAAGTATAAATCCATGGATCCTGGGCCTTGTGAGCCCTCCCCATGAACACCCATCCTGGTAAGACCTTTCAGAAAAAACCATAATACTGCCCCCACACATTAATATCCCTGTTCTGAACTCCTAGCAGAGGAAGCTCAAAAGGCCCTTTTTACAAAATACACCATGACCCGGGATCTGGTGGTGTTAGCCAAGCATAAACATAAATCATTCAAATTAAATTGCACTCCTTCAAACAAATGAAGAACTGAACATCTTGGGATTCTAATTCCTTGATGTTTATGATGCTTTCCTCTCGTATTTACTTACCAGTCAAGGAACCTTAAAGGATCAGAGATACAAACAAAGAACATTCTTTTTTCTACCTCCTTAGAACCTCAATTCATTTCTAAAGAAATTAAGATTTGTGTCTAAGCAATTATTTACCGGAAATTTTTTTCTTAGCTCTATTCCTGATCTTTATAGCTCCTATTCCACGAGCCCCTTGCATTACCATAAGAATAACATTCACTGAGTATTCTATAAACAAAGACTTGTAGCACTGCTTGATGGAGGATGGTTTTCTTCCATTCATTTGCTTTTCAGTGTGAGACATCACCTCTAACTGACATTGGATGCTTCTGCATCATTCACTGTGAAGTTGATTCCGTTTCCACTAAGGGTTAAAGCAGATGGAAGAGACAGAATAAGAATCAGCACATCACTTCCTTCTGATATAAGATGGCACTTTGTCCATTAGTTGGAAATGATCTCTCCTGTTACTAAAGCCAAGTATTCACAACTGGGTATACCCCCATTCAGGTCCCGTATTCACAGAAAATCGATGTACAAGGCAGTTCTTAAAACAGGAAAATAAAGCAAGCCCTCGCTTGGCTATACTGTACCTCTAGCATAGATCTGGTGCTCTAGGTTAGTCAGACTGGCTGTACTCCTAGTTCTAAGGTAGACAAGGGGGAGGCCTGGTAGACAGGAGAGACAATGTTAGAGCATAAGAATCAATATAGTGAAAAAGAAGACTCATCTCCAAAACATAAGCACAAATAGAGTACATTACAAAAACAGCAAGCATCATGCACTTACAGGCTCATTCCTTTAGTGACTACTAAGAGCTAAGGAGGTACTTGACAAGGTGAGCAAGACAGTTTTTATGCTGGCTTTTAATGTGGAGGCTGTGCTAACAGAGCATGCTCCTTTTTTTCTGAATCGGGGAAAGAAAATGTACTCACAGTCACTTGAACAGAATGGCAAGCCTTTTGAGGATTTTTAATTTAAAGCATGTATGTTCTCACGTGGCATAGAAAAGTTACCAAGAGCAATCAGTACAGATTTTAGTGGGAGTTGCTCCATTCCAATCGGAAAAGGCAGTAGCAGTAGAATGCTAATCCCCCACAGGTCTCAAAAATTCAAGGGAAGGAATCAGTCTGTGTTCCAAGTTTCAACAATCTCTTCTGAGAAGTTATCTCATGGTATTATTTATATTATACATTAAACATGGAAGCTTTTAGAATTTTTTCTTTTTTTGGTATTTCCACAAAATGTCCTTGAATACAAAACTAATGAACTAATAATTAAGGTGCCATACCGTCCAGGTGTACTTGCAGAATCTCAGCCCTTCCTGAACAAAGCCAATAATTACGTCAAAAATGAGGCCATTATTTTCTTTCCCCTGCTAAAGGAACAGTAAGAAATCAGCAGCTCCCTTAGGCTGAATTTCATATTAAGAACCTCTAAGTCAAGGGCTCATTTTGCAGCTGGCCTGAATAAAATACACAAATTTGGGGGGAATGTGACTAAATATTCTTAAATAAGAGCTGAAGGTTTGTGATCAGTTCAACAAGATCCAAACCTCCTGACTTTCAAAACGAATGCCCAACAATTATTTTAGTAGGCCTAGTAAGAGAACACAATCCCATCTGCTATTCTACCATCCAAGAATTCTTAATAAGAGGTTTGGAAATTTAGGTATGTTCGTGTATGCCTAATAAAAAAGATATATTTACACCTTTATAAACCTAAGTAACCCTAAAGATCTGTAAGTAAATAAAAATCCAGATTTAATTTAGCAGGCATTTAACATAGATAAGGTAGCTTATTAACTATAAAAAAAAGAGGAGATGTTAAAATAAAGAGGGAGGGGAGCAGTGGGAGAGGGACAAAAGAAAACTCCATCAGAATCCTGAAGATTCGGCCTCCCTAGTGTCTGCACTGAGTCTGGATTTAAGATCCCTCTGCATGAATAATGTTTTTAGAAACACATTCTCTAGGACACATTACATATTACAAAGATTATTCAGAGTCTTCTGGGTAGACTACGTTACATTCTCTTGACACACAAATTGGGAAGGTTAGAGGAGGAGCCAGAATTGAAGCTGATGATATCTGAAAAGCCCTGGCTCCTAAGCAATGGCCTTGAGACTCAGAAGCAACAGCCTGGGAATACAGAGAGCAAGCAGAGCTGACGTGTCCTTGTCCCTCCTCCGAGAAGTACAAGGCAGATAGAAAGTCCATTTATACACCCTGAGGAGAGACGAACCAAAGACTTCGTACACTAAGAAAATCCATCTTCCCATGACACGTTTGCAGACCAGATGGAACAGTTAAGTATTCATGAACTATGTGAAGTCCAGCCAAAACTCCCCAAAGAAACCACACTGAAAGAACTGGGGCTGAGTTGAATTTGGATGACAATGGCTTGTGGAACAACTAAGGACCACGCAGTTGGCCATCACAATCTCCCCAGCTCTGAGGAAATCAGAGCTCCATGGCGAAGCATTAAATAAGGAAAGAAAACATCGTTAACAGAGAACACGCTGACTCCTCTTCCTTCAAGAGGCTGGGTATTCAATTCTCTTCTACTTTACAGTACAGGGCCCCCCTTTAAACACTTGCTTCCACGTGGGAGCCTGCCCTCCCTCTCTTCAAGAATATATCCAACCTCTCTGTCTCTCGATGTAGAAAACTGAAAAGATCTTCTTAAAGATCCAGACCAAAAGTCCAATCAATTAAAATGTTCTGAGGAGTAAAACACAAACTGACCAATGGCCACTCCTGGTGCATCTCCAGGTGCCCCAGTTCACATGCCACATGACCAGAACTTAGGAATTGCATACTGCAGGCCCTTCCTCTCCCACAATGGTGAAACTAGAGCTCATATTAAGAGTTCAGCGTTTTGTGCCAGAAAAAATGTCCCTTCCAAAGACTAAAACAGAACTACAGAAGACAGAATTTCCTGTAGGTTTTTCCATAGAAAATGATGGTTCTATCTGAATTTCTCAATGAAACATGGCTCTGTAGGTCAAAGGTGATTTAGTCAAACATTTGTAGAGAAAAATCTTACTTTGTCCAAAGCATGGAGGATCCACTGAAGAGCCCATCCAGTCTTCCGATGTGGTTGAATCTATTTCCTTGTCCTGTTTACAGTAATCTGCCATCCACGATTCCTTGGTACTTATATATTGGTCTAGAAAAAAGTCCCCAAAGATAATTAAGAACAGAAGTAGAAAGGATTGGGTGTTCAAGTCAGATGACTTCAATTCAGCAAAACAAGCTTTTATCGAATGTCTGACTAAATGCTAGGCACCACACTAGATTCGGAGAAAGCTGGTCCCCTGAAGAACCTCATACTCCACTGGAAAAAATTAACATTAACAAAACAACCATCATCACAAAACTTTATCACAATGTGAAAGGAGCTAAAACAAAGATACAAATAAAATGCTGTGGGAGCGCAGAACAGGGGAAGATTTATTCTGCTTTGGCAGAAGTGGAAGAATACACACCAAAGCACATGGCAATCTTCAGAGAGGTAAGGACCTTTGTTCGGGGTCTTGAAGAATAGGTAGGGTTACCAATAGGATTAGGGATACAGGGACATTCCAGGCAGAGAGAACAGCATATGCAAAGACTTCAAGACATGAAAGTACATGGCACATTTAGGGAACACTGAATACTTTGGTGTGACTCGGTACAACATACTGGGGTACAGGGACATAGCAAAGAAGTCTAGAAAAGAGAACAACTTGCTTTGTGAAGAGCATGACATGCCATATGCTAAGGGGCAGGGTTTGGAGACAGAAAGACCAGTAGGAGGCTGTTTAAAAAACCACCAAACTCGGGAGGCTGAAATCCAGCTGACAACTGTCCAGGAGTGGTTTTACTTCTTTGAGAGGAGAATTATAACGGGAAGAGCAAAATAATTACACACCACACTTGGATAAAGACCTTTTATACTAATTAAAGCACTACACTTTTTATTTATTTTTTAAATTAATTTTTATTGGAGTATAGTTGCTTTACAATGTTGTGTTAGTTTCTTCCGTACAGCAAAGTGAATCAGCTATACGTATACACACATCTCCTCTTTTTTGGGATTTCCTTCCCACTCAGCCATAAAAAGGAATGAAATTGGGTCATTTATAGAGAACTACACTTTTTAAAACAAGAATGATTAGTTTCTGTTTTTCAGCTCCAATATTCAGCTACAGAAATGATATTTATTTAAACACTAAGAGGTCACAGCAATATTTCTGGGTTTCAGCACAGTTTTAGGAATAAGGAATTAAAGGTTAAAAAAAGAACAGTTTTACCACTGCCAAGAATGCTTTTTGGAAGATGACATTTTTAATTAGATACTCATCAGAAATATCAATAGAACTCTTGTGAGGTTAGCTCTCGTTTACTGTAGCTTTTCAAAGAAGAGTCCCAAACTTTATCTAAACTTCCAGATGAACAGATTATATAAGAAATAACATGGGGACCAAAATAATATCGAAGAATCATGAGATCAATGTACTATTACATTGGTGAAATTAATGAAATAACAGTGGTTTTAAAATCTGGGGATCAATAAGCTTACAGTCCCATTTCACCATACGTTCTCTCCATCCTAGTCGGACATGGAATAAGCCAATGAATATTCTATGAGCCTCAACCCAACACATACACTGAAGAAAGTTCACAGATTTTCAATGTAGTATGCCCTCCATATCTGTGGGTTTTGCAGCGGATACAGAGGGCCAACTGTATTCATTGTACTAGGCCATTTTATTACAAGGGACTTGAGCGTCCACAGATTTGGGTGGGGGGGTGGGTGAGGGGTATGGGGTGTGGTACTGGAACCAATCCCTTTGGATACTGAGGCACAACTGTAGTATGTGTTATCTATCACTCAGAGATAGCTACCGTGTTACAAAAAATCAGATCCTGTAGATCAGTAACTCAAAGAGTCGAGTGTAGTTTTCATAGTGAAAGTAGGCACTACCGGACCGTATGATAATGTTACTCTTCTTTTGATATAAAGACAAGTATAGAGACAAGATTCTGACACACTACTTCCAATCCAGGAATGTACACTTCAGTGTTGTCAAAGAAACGTTCAGAACACACACCATTAGCTTGGCAACCCTTTAACTCAGTGATTTTCAGAGTTAGGTCAACATGCTACTTGATGGGAAACAGCACAAGCAACCTACCCTGCTATAGACAATCAAAATTATACCTTTTAAGAATTGTTCTGTGAATAGTCTGAGAGAAATGAATCTAAACTCACTTCTAAGACATTTAATAAGTCCCAGTGACCAAGCATCATGGGGAGAAAGTTCGTCATGGATATGAATGTTTCCCATGTAGTCCAAGCTCTTGCTTGATCACTGAGAGGATTAATATGGGATGCCACCTCCAGAGCTATGGGTTGAGAAGCATTATGAGGCCAGGTTAGGGTTTATCAGGAAGGCAGCCATGATGAGTAAACTGTCTGGTATGGGCCCAAGTATTTGCTAAACCAGGATTAACAGTCTTCCAGACAAGGGACTTAGGCACAGAAAGGTACCAATGTTCTAAAGACAGCTTTCCACTCACCAATTAGTACAGAGGTGATATTGATATCCAAACGGTGTTTGGCCTTGACTTCCAGCTTCAGCCGAGGAGGATGGAGACGACTAGCTGCCTGTTGTTGCCAGGATACAGAGCACGGCCAGGGCTCAATAAATGGCTCCCAGCCTAAAAGAACACAGGAAATAAGACATCTGCTCAGCAGATATCAAGAGTTTACAGGGGAACACCATTCACAAATGCTCAGCAAGGACATACTACAGCTAATAGCTTTCTATTTCCAACTTGATTTCACAATGGAAACACCATCTTTAGCTGCAGGTCACCTTACGAATGTCTGTGCTGTCTCAAGGACATGAGTACAAGAGCACACATGCACCCCAACCATGGTCTCCCAGAGGTGGGAGGAAGGAAGGCAGGGGGTATGTGCCCTCTTCTATTTAAGAGCAGGCAGGACCTGTTTTTGATATATTCAAGTAGAAAAAAGTGTCTCAGACTCAGGTTGGAAAAATAGTGTCAGCGGCTGAAGTAACTATTAAATTTGATTACCCTGCTTACATCAAGAACCCACTGGCTGAATAAATAGGTATACTTGAAATTCATTAACTTAAATTTTTCCAAATTTTTATTTTAAAACGTGTCATATGTACAAAAGTTATATATAAACAACATATACGTATGGTTTAAAGAATAAAATTACTGCAAACACTCACGTACTCACTATGCAGCTTAACAGAAAATTATATGTGCCTTTGAAACCCGAGTGCCACTCCCCACCAAACCTCTTCCACCCGACTCCAAGTAACCATCAGCCTGAATTTTTAATCATTTCCTTGCTCTTTATACTTTTATCACCTATGTATACATTTCTTAAGAATACACAGTTTGTCCTGTTAGGGATCTTCACATAAACAGAATCCAACAGTGTGTATTCTTTTTTTCTTTTTTTTTTTCATTTATTTATTTATTTGGCTGCGTCGGGTCCTAGTTGCAGCATGCGGGATCTTTGTAGCGTTGCCCCACAGCATGTGGGACCTTAGTTCCCCGACTAGGGATCGAACCCACATCCCCTGCATTGGAAGGGGGATTCTTAACCACTGGACCACCAGGGAAGTCCCTGTGTGTATTCTTTTGCAAGTTTCTATTTTTGCTCAATAGCATTCTTTGAGATTCACTCACACTGATGCCATGTGGCTGTGGTACATTATCTTCACCACTGAACTGTAATCCACTTATGAACATACCACAGTTTATTTATCTATTCTACTGCTAAGAGACGTTTCACTTGATTCCAGTTCTGCCGCTATTAGGAAGACCACTCTGGAAGCAGTCTTGTACTTGTTTCCTAGTACTCATAGACAGGAGATTCTCTAGGGTACAGGTCTAGAAGAAGTATATTGAAGGATTGCCGAGTATGCTTCTAAGTCGTGTCAAACTGTTTTCCAAAGTGGTTGTCCCAATTTACAATTCTGACAGCAGGAAATAAGAGTTCTAGGGCTCATATCTTCACCATACTTAGCAGTGTCACACTTCCTTTTTGCCAGTCCATTGGGTGAGAAAAATGGTATCTCACTGTAGTTTTAAAGACAACTTTTCAAGGCCAGTCAATTTTTAACAGTTTTCTAAATACACTCCATCGGCCACAGATGAGGCGATTTACCAATACAAATCCAATCTAACATGTAGCATAATGACGGTACATTCATCTCCTCACACCATTTAGCACTAGTGACCTGAATGTGTTCATGCAACTTTAAAAGTAAGCAATATTTGCTCTGGGAAAATAAATGATTCTCAAAAAAATAGCTACCATATGCCCTGTAAAACGTTCTCTTAACTAGCAAGGCTTGGGCCATTATTCGAAAGTTAAACATTTTGAACAATTAGGAAATAAGAGTGTTGCCTTTAAGTGAATCCAGATCAGAGAGGGGAGAATGTTAACTAACATATAAAATCGAATGTGACACGTACTCTAGAACAATCAGCAGCAGCACAACACACTGGAAGCTTAACTTTCCAATGACATCAAGGGAGCAACCCCTCTTCGACACAACTTGGTTTACTCCACCCACACCTACGAAGAACTCTCTTAAGGCAAAGAACGTCGCAGTTCAAACTATTCAGCCCTGATACAGGATGGTTCCTGAATGTCCATCCGTATAGGCCCATACCTTGGTCTTTCCAATGGAAGGAAAGAAACCTGAAAACGCCTTGTAATATATACAAGTTTATGTCTCTGGAAGAACAGCTTGCCCTGATCAACTGTGTCCTACTCTAGGGAGTAGGTACGGCAGGTTATACATTGTCACTGACTCAGTACTCTTCTAATGAGACAAACAAGTCCAATAGGGAGTGAGGAGGCCTAAAGTTTAAAATGCTTATGGGCTTAAATCTCACTTGAAATTTAGCTACTATCAGGGCCAGACGAATGATCCTTCACAACTGAGCAATTTCATGTTCTGAAATAAGCCAAACTCCAGGATGAAAAGGAATTAACTACCAAAACTTCTTTTTAAAGAATTCAGTTGTGACTTATCAAATATATTCTTAGAAATATGAAAAATCTGTACCTTTTGTGCTTGTGCAGTCACTTATTTTTCATCTTTCCCTGTCCTATCCCACCCCTTTGCCTCATGTAGAATTTATGTAGAAATAGGCCCAGGCAAATGTCGAAGTGTATTTTGTAAATCCCATGATAATTATACTGACCTGACAGAGCACGGTTATAATAATCTCCAGAAAGGGTGAAGTGGGCATAGCCTTCAGGGCTAGTTCTTACATGCTGCAGAAAATTCAGACCTGCAATGAAAGCAAATCTTATTGCGGTGGCAGGGCGGGAACAACCAAAACTTTCTTTTGCTGACAAATCATATAAAAGAGATGTCAGAAAAACAAACACATAGATACAGAGAACAGAGTAGTGGTTACCAGAGGGGAAGGGACAGGGGCGAGAGCAGGGGTGATCAACTGTATGGTGATGGATAGAAACTAAATTTTTGGTAGCGAGCACATGGTAATGTATACAGAAATGGAAATATAATACTGTACACAAGAAACTTATATAATGTTATAAACTGATGTTACCTTAATAAAAATAAAAGAAAGAGATGTTAGTTACAGCTACCACTGATGATCTTATAGGAGAACACACAGATGTATCAAAATTTGATATTTTGTTCATCATGGTTTTTTTTAATAAATTCTGATTTTTAAAAATACTCCATTAAAATATCATTTATCTTAATTACTGAGCTTTGTGGTACCCCTTTAAATGTTGTGAATGAGGTAAATGCCTCATTTGCCTCCCCACCAATACCAGCCCCAGCATCCAGGTGTATCTCAAGCCTGTGGGAACATTAAAAAACATATTTCTACCTGAATATCTGAAAAGAAGGTAGAGTAATGAGAACAGTCATGCCTTCATAAATATTAGCTCAAAATTTCAAGATTACCGTAGAAAAATAAGAAATAATTATTTTCTGCAGAAAAGATACTCATGGAAACAGTCAAAATTCCAGTTGTTAGTTTCAATCAGGTGGCCCTTGTGGTGCCTAGAAGCACAGGGAAAAGGAAAATCTCTACAACGTGTAAAAGGTCAAATTAAATCCCCAGAACCAACTTTTCCTTGAAGGGAAAAGAGGCTAGCAAGATCAACACAAAAGAAAATTAAAAGTAAACACATCAGTGAGATTCTCCTTTACTCTCCTCAGAAGCCTCATCTGACTCAGCTTGCAACGATGCGATTGAGGATAAAGCCCTCCTGCCCTGGCCTCCACTCTGCTGAAGGACGGCTCTCAGGTGAACAGGGTTTCACCTGCTACCCGGCCTACGGAGGAGACTCTGGTGAGCCTCTGTGTTTTTTAATTTTCAAAAGACATACAGCTTGGAAACATTACTTTCTAAGCTTATCTTTTAAATTCCTTTAGTAACAGTACTCCCTACAATCTTTAGATACACGAAAAGATACACAAAATGGAGAGATCAGGGATTACTTAACTAGAGCTGTTAACAGAACAGAAATTTCATCAATGACAATTTCTGTTATTCCCAAGCCATGGTCTGAAGGCCACATATGGCAAATAAATACACGCTTCTTTAAAATACAAATAATGGAAAACATATGTAAAACCATCATCTAAATTTCTCCCATTCTATTAAGTACGGGAGAGAATGAACAGCATGAAGAAAAGACGGCGGTTCACTGCACATCTTCTCGATGAACCCGAGCGTCGGGCAAGCACTCACGGGAGAAGGTGAGCTCAGCGAGAGGGACGTCGCAGTCCATGCAGTCGTCAATAAAGCAGATGCACACGCTCTCAGCTTTCATCTCCACGCCCGAGATCAACCATGCCGGCGCAGCCACCTGGCCCTCTCGGCTGTTAGAGGCCAGGGAAAGAGACGTCAGGGGTTCAGCATTCTTGAACAACCAACTTGCTGCCTTTTTCAGTTGACCTGCAAAGAAATTAAAAGGTGATCAGTTCAATCTGTTCCCACAGCTACTCAAGCAAATCAGAGAGGAAACAGAGAAATACATTTGATAGGGACCTACTGGACGGCCCAAGAGAACCTTAATGCCAGACAGACATAACAAAGAAAAAACAGCACAGTAACAGGAATCCTGCTCTTTAGCAAACAGAACAAGGCCCTCTTTGCTGCACACCTCTGCTCGAGTTTACCGCACCTTTCATGACCTGGCTCAAAATGTCTCCAGGAAGCCACCCTTCCTCTACTGTGACATCTGTTGAAGGAGACGAGAAAAGAGGAAAGGAGAGGATCCAACATTCCAGGTGCCACTCGGTACATAAATACTTAGTCTTCCCTATGTAGTCTTGCATATCCTGATGTGCTGCTTTGTCAAGTGTTCTCAAATGTCTTACGTTGTACATACTTTGTCTTCTCAACCATGTGTGTAATATAAAACTATTAAATAACACCCCCTGAACACAACCAGATTGCTAAAGCTAAAAAAGAACAGAACAAAGAAAAGCAATGCAACCCCACACTTATAAATTACCAGAGGCCAGTGCATGTAACGGTGGTAAGTGGTTAAGGGCATGGGCTTTGGAGCAAGATGGCCTGGCTTCTGACCTTGGCACTTACCAGCTGTTGGATCTTGGACAAGTTACTTGATCGCTCTATGTCCGACAGCACCCGCTTACAGGACGGACATGAGGGGGAAACAAATGAGTACGTGGGAGGTTCTCAGATCAGAGCCTAGCATATAACAAAGGCTCCATAAACATTAGTTGGTATTATCATCTTCATTATTGATGGAAATAAACCTTAGTTACTAAAGAAATAAAAATTAAAATCCAAAAGGCTCTTAGAAATTTTTCTAACGTGTCTGAATTGTTAAAGAAAGAGTAAAAGTAAGAAATGTAAACATTAAGGGGTATGAAGTTAATTAAACCAAGAAGCAATGATGACTAGGTAAAAACAAAACTAAGGAACACAAGATCAGTAGGTCTACCTTCCTTTTCTCCAGAGGAAAAAGACAGGTAATGCAAACAACTGTGATGAAACCACGTTAAGTGGTCAAAGTTTAACCTGGTACAATCCTTTTCGAAAAAGATTTGTCAATTCAAGCAAAGAGCCTCAAAAATATATCTATATTCTCTGATCCAGTTTTTACAATATGAAGTCTCACTACCAAAGAAACAGTTAAAAGATGTAGACAAAAGTTCATACACAAAAATATTTATTACAGAATTGTGTATGATAATGAAAGAATGAAAAACAACTTAAGAATGGTTAAATCATAATGTATCCTCTGATCAATGTAAAAAAATCAATGTTTACAAATAATGTTAATGACATGGGAAGACCCTGCTATTAAGTATATATTTTAATAAAATTGTAATTATAATTCTATAAAATTGTATTTGCAATACGATCTACCAACATGTATAATATTACGTGTGTGTGTGTATACACACACACACACACACACAAACACGTATGTGTTGGATACACGGGCGTACCTCGTTTTATTGCACTTTGCTAATACTGTGCTTTTTACAAATTGAAGATTAGTGGCAACCCTGTGTCGAGCAAGTATACCGGCACCATTTTCCAACAGCATTATTTAATTAAGATATGTACATTTTTAAGACATAATGCTACTGCACACTCAACAGACTACAGTATAGGGTAAACGTAACTTTTATATGCACCGGGAAGCCAAAAAATTTGTATGTATGTCAAAAATTTGACTCGCTCTATTGCGATATTTTCTTTATTGCGGTGGCCTGGAACTGAACCCCCAATATCTCCAAGGTCTGCCTGTATACAGTACATAGAGGAATAAAAAGAGAGAATATACATGCAAGTATCACGACTGGGAAAAAAATACAGCTCTTGCTGTATCTCTGATTTGAAGAGAAAGGGGAACGAAGAGGGAGGCGGAGAGGTAGTGTGATGCAGTGGAAAGAACACGGGCACACCTGGCTTTACACCCATCCCACCCCGCATTAACAGGGGGCCTGAGACGAGTTTATGTACCCTATCTGAGCCGGGTTCTCCAACTGGAGTGAGGGTAATAATGCCTGCCTCCAAGGGTATGAGGATTCAACAAGAAGCAGGACTAGGTCCAGAGGAGCTCAATAAATGGCCATGCCTACCAGCGTCACCGCCTTACCACTCCCACTAGCAACAGTGCTAACATCTACAGAGCACATGCTGTGTGTCAGGTACCTTCTCATGTCCTTTGCATAGAGTGACTTCTTTATATCAAACCTCTGAGGGATGTCCTCTTATCCTCACTCTACAGATAAGGAAGCACGGGTACAGAGACATGAAACTTGCCCAAGTCACGAACAAGTAGCCAGCAGGTGGCAGAGTAAGGACCTGAAGTCAGGCAGTCAGCTCCAGAGCCCACAGCCATGTCCACTATAAAATCCTGTTCTCATTATTACTGGCCCAAGATTATCTTCAGCCCACAGAAAATCATGGAGGGTCTCCAAAACACACTCCAGCTCATGGAAAGATAAACATTATCAAACATTATCAAGATAAACAGCTGATAAAGGAAAGCCTCATTCAAATTACCTTGACACACCAAGAGAGCTTTGCGGCAGTCATCCATGCCAAACCCCAGCTCCTGCAGTCTAGCCAGTTGTAACTCTACGGCGGGGGGGGGGTAGAAAGGGTATATATATTTTTGTAAGTAATTTAATGTAAATTAACCCACAGACTAATTGAAGCAAAAAAGAACCAAAAAAAAAACAAGAAAAGAAATTCAGAAACTGGGGACTCAAACACTGCACTGCTATAGGCAAAAGTAAGCTCCTAATTAGAATTTATCAACTGT